CTTTATTAAAAATATAGAAAAGTAAAAAGAAACCAAACATAACATAGGGTTGTCTAGTGATGTAATTTCTTTATAGAAAGGAATACGGGTAACAGTAAGAATTCTGATTTTATTTTTGAACTGAGAACTGGACTTCTGAAGTGTGATGGTATCAGAATTCTTAATTATTTTCAGCCTTCAGCCTTTGGGCACCTGGGTCAGGCAGAAGATATGTTACTTTTGTAATCATGACCTCGATTGATGGCAGGTTTTAGAGAACTTGTACATGTGTGTTTTAATTCTAATTTTCCTCATGACTAAATTTCCCTGCAAATCTAGCTTTTACTGACAGTATTTTATTAAAAAAAAAAAAAGATTAAAATCTGTTGTATTAATGGGAATGGAGGGTTCCTGAAGACTGAATGGGGGATAAGTACAGGGATGGTCCATAAGATATTCCTTACTCCCCTCCCTACTCCACCCCCTCCATACTCCCCCTTCCTTGTGGATGGAAATGCCAGCTAAATTTGGGGATCATATAGAAGCTAAGGTGTCCCCATTCATTGGTCTTACGCTGCCAGTTTTTCAAATCATGTGGCCCACAGCTGAGTTTTTTGAGAATGAAGAGAATCGTTTTCTCTTTCATCCTATCCCTGACTCTACTTTTTCCCCACATTTACTGGTCTGAATGAACACCTAAACTGAAATACTTTTTGTTCAAACTGACAGTTTTTTTTTTTTTTTTTTTTTAAGATTTTATTTATTTATTTGACAGAGACACGGCAAGAGAGGGAACACAAGCGGGTGGTGGGGGTGGCGGGGGGGAGAGGGAGAAGCAGTCTTCCCGGTGGAGCAGGGAGCCCGACGTGGGGCTCGATCCCAGGACTCTGGGATCATGACCTGAACCGAAGGCAGATGCTTAATGACTGAGCCACCCAGTGCCCCCAAACCGACAGTATTCTTTTCCAACTTCTTCCTCCAGTCCAACAAGGTTTCTAGGAAATGGACTGTGGGAAATGAAGAGATTTCACTAGAAGCCAACCGGAAGAGAGAATGGTTTTCACTTTTAGTCTGAATTTCTGATTCTCTGTGCTCTGCAACTAATCTGACTTGTATTTCTCTGATTGTAAATTTTGTTTTAATCCCAAGACCAGTCTAAGAGGTTTTCACATAACATAGATTTTTTTTTTCCTTTTTGCTTTTACTTTTAATTTGCATCACTCAGTTTAGCATTTATTTGTTCAGAGGTAGTATGGTAAAATGGAAGAAAAATGTGTTGGATCCTCAAAGATTTCCATTTGAATTATGGATCGTCAAAATTAGTGATGGGGTTAACAAACCTCTGAGTTTCAGGTTCCTTGTTTTTTTAAAAGAAAATAACATCTACTTCATGTATGTGTTACAAGGATTGAATCAGATTATGCACAGACCTTTATAAAGTGAAGTTATATTAAAAAATTTTGAACTTTACTCTGAAAAGATAAAGAATTTATCTTTTCCCCCAGAGGATTTCTTCTTTTTTTTTTTTAAAGAAGTCCTAAAAGGTAAACGGAAGTAGGAAGGAAATGCTGAGCAGACCCTAAATTTGTTACAGAGTGACTTAGAGAAGATTTATGAAAAAAAAACATTAATGGAATGTCTGTTATATATTCAAAATGTACCAGGAGCTATAAGAATAATCAAGATTAATCTTTTGAATAGAAGATTCTTGAAATTTGGATTTTCCTGAATCAGAGTTTTCTAGATCACAGAGGAGGTCTTTATAATTTAACAACAAATATTGCTTCTTTTAAATTTCTTTTTGTCCACCTAGATTAACCTTTTTGACAGAATGAAGGGAAGATCAACATTGATTAAAAATTTGTATATAGCCAGTCTGTCACTAGAGAATTATGAGGGTGGTCTAGACATGAAAAAGTAGACTTAGGAGTACATACATAGGGGCACCCGGGTGGCTCAGTCGTTAAGCGTCTGCCTTCGGCTCAGGTCATGATCTCAGGATCCTGGGATCGAGGCCTACATTGGGCTCCCTGCTTGGCGGAAAGCCTGCCTCTCCCTCTCCCACTCCCCCTGCTTGTGTTCCCTCTCTCGCTGTGTCTCTCTCTGTCAAATAAGTAAATAAAATCTTTTTTTAAAAAAAGTACATACATACACACAGTAAATGACAGAAGTACCTATTATGATATCAAAAATATTTAAATCATTTTCAATAATTTAAAATTAATTTTAAGAATATAAAAATGTTCAGGGGCACCTGGCTGGCTCAGTCAGAAGAGCATCTGACTCTTAATCTCGGGGTCATGAGTTTGAGCCCCATGTTGGGTGCAGAGATTACTTAAATATAGAAATCTTTTAAAAAAGTATAAAAAAAGAATATAAAAATGTGTGAATCCTGGAAATGATCATAAGGGCATGTACATGGCTCCTTATACTCCAAGATAATCAGGTAACACTGTGGGTAATACAAAAATCATTTCTAATTTTGGAATGCCTTATATACTTTTTCAACAGAATTTTCTTTTTAATTACAGGATTAAAAGGAACCTAAAGGGATGTGATATAGTCTAGAACCCTGATGTCAAGTAAATGAATCATTCTTCTGGATGTGCTTGTCCCATAAATTGTTGCAGAATGAAAACTGCCATTCCAGTATTTTAACAACCTGTGGAGCATTAAATTATTCTTTGTTTTTACTACATTTAGTTTCTTTGTTGAAATAGAGAACAATTGTGGTAGGCATCTCTTTAAACATCTTTGATCTATTTGAGTACTAGCTCTTACTCCAGTTTCTTGGTACCATATCCTTTATTTTTCTCTCTCAAAATCTATTTTCCATTCTTATAAATGCTTTTGCGATCCATCTTCGTACCTCGTTAAGTTTATCTTTATTTCTCTTAAGAATTGTAAGGTGTAGTAGAAGGATTAATTTAATATTGTCGTTATTTTTACTTGCCTGTCTTCCCTTTGAGGGCAGTACACTCTAGCCCCTTGTCTGGCATGTAGAATATATTTAATAAATGTTTATTGAATGAATAAGTGTATGTTTTCATTATACTCACACATCTTGATAGCATGCTAGTTTTCATTTTTTTTTGTCTGGTAAGTCAAGAAATTTAATCCTTATAGAAGAAACTGAGGCTTAAATTTATTTAGTAACTTTCCCATGGTCACAGAGCCAGCAGTTTTTGGTAGGGATTGTGTAGGGATTCCAAATGGAGAACTACTGCGAAATTACAAAGCATTTCCCCACTTTGTTTCTCATGGCCAAACTCTTCAAAGCTCCAAATGCAGGGCACCTGGGTGGCTCAGTGGGTTGGGCGTCTGCCCTCTGCTCCGGTCATGATCTCGGGGTCCTGGGATGGAGCCCCGCATCAATCCCTGCTCAGCGGGGAGGCTGCTTCTCCCTCTCCCTCTGTAACTCTCCCTGCTTGTGTTCTCTCTCTCTCTCTCTCAAATAAATGAAATCTTTAAAAAAATTAAAAAGCTCCAAATGCAATTTGAAGTTTAACAGCATGATTTTTCTTCATGAAGTGTGTGTGTGTGTGTGTTTGTGTGTGTGTGTGTGTTTAAAGCCTTCTTTCCCTCACTTTGTGGCACTATAAATGCTTTCTGGTTCCAATCTTAATCTTTGTCTCAGTCTCCACAGTGGGGCCAAAACCTGCTCTCTAAAAGGCAAATGTGATCATGTTACTTCCTAATTTAAACCCTTCACTGGTCACCACTGTCTGCTAGATTAAGTTCAAACTCCTTGGTATACCAAACAAGGCACTCAAATATCTGTCCCCTTTAACTTCTAGTCTTATCACTCATCATACCCTCCCTTGCCTTCACTTAGCTGGTGGTATCAAACTTCTTACAGTTCCCCAAACACAAGAATGTTTCATTGATCCCTCAGCCTGCAATTCCTTCCCTTACCCCACCGAAGAATCTGTGCCTCTTTTACTACCAAGTGTCTCTTGACGATGCCCTCAGTAGAACTGATCACTCCTTTTTGTGTTTGCCCACACCTTTACAGGCTTCTATCCTAATGTCTGTATCGTGATACTGCACTTATTTACAAGTCCCACTTATTTACTTACTTATTGTCCTTCATTTACTTATTTACACTTATTTATTAGTCCCATTTATTTATGTACTTATTTACTGTCTCACCCCATGCCCAACTAGGTCTCTTTATACCCCAAAGTACTCACATAGTGCTTGGCTCATAGTGGTGCTTTATAAATGTTCGATAAATGAATGGAATGGAAATACGGCTGATGAAGAGGGAGAAGAAATGGAAAGCTAAAGAGAAAGCCCTTTAGGGAGAATATTATTCTTATGGACATGCAAATGATGAGTTGTAAAGGAGGTCAAAAAGATTTGTAATAGGGAGGACCTCAGCTGAACATGCCCTTAACAAGCTCGTTCGGAGGCAAGATATGCATACTCAACAGCATTACGAGGTAATTAAGTATCTGGATGAAAATGGCTCACACAGTATTATAGAAACTTAGAGGCTGGGGAAGTCCCTCCTGAGGAGGACAGAACTGAAAACTGGCCTAATCAAATGCCTTCCAGGTGCAAGGCGTTTTTCGTGCGTTAAGCAATTTAATCTTTCAACCACCCTATGATGAGGATATTATCACCGTTTTAGAGCTGAAGAAACATGCTCAGAGAATTTAGGTTGCTCCACGTCACAAACTACCATGTGGAAGAACCGTAACTTGAATTTGGGTCAGCTGTCTTCAACGCCCCGTTCATTTCGCCACACCCCCCCTCTGCAATGCGGGGCCACAGGTAGCTACCTGCGTCGAGTTCCTTTGGCCTTCCCCTCCGACCCCCCCGCGCGCCCTGTTCTCTCGCGCTCACTGCGCCTGCGCGTCCGGCCGCTGCCCGCATTCCCGGGAGGGGCCCCGCGGCGGAGGCGGTGTCAGGGCCCCGGGCAGGGTAGTCGGCTAGCCGGCGAAGGCGGTTGGGCGGGGCGAGGCGAGGCGAGGCGAGGCGAGGAGGGAGAGAGGGAGGAGAGGAGGTAGGGAGGGAGAAGAGGAAGGAGGGGCGGGCTCGAGGCCGCGGCGGAGGAGGAACTTGTTGCGGCCGCGGCTGCGCTGTGCGGCTCCCTACGCGCCAGTTCGCCGGGCGGGCGCGGTGCGGCGGCGGTGGCGGTGGCGGCGGCGGCTGAGGCGCGGGGCCGGGGCGATGCGGCGTTACCTGCGCATCGTGGTGCTGTGCCTGGCCTGCGGCTTCTGCTCGCTCCTCTACGCCTTCAGCCAGCTCGCCGTGTCCTTGGAGGAAGGAGCGGGCGGCCGTGGCGGGAAGCCGCAGGCCGCGGCGGCTTCCTGGCTCGCGGGCGGCGGACGCGGCGGCTCAAGAGGGGTGGGCAGCGTGGGCCCCGCAGCGCATCCCGGCCCGTCGGACAGGTACGGGCCGTTCTCTGTCAGGGCACCGGGGCCGGGGCGAGGGGCGCGGCGGTCGCGGGGGCGCGGGGCTCAGCCTGGGCTTGGCTGCTCGCCGGTCCGCCCCGCGCCTCCCGCTTCTTTTCCGCGGTCTCTGACCCCTTCTCTCGTTTCCCTCCTTCCCCCTCCATCCGCGCGTGAGCCTAGCCGCAGAGCACCCCATGGTCTTTGTGTTTGTCTTCTGACGCATTCCTTATGCGCTCTTTAAAGCGTATAGAAATTAATTTTCAACTTTTAATCGACAGTTTTTTTTTTCCTGACAGAATTCATTGAAAGTAAAAGGTGCCCCACAAAAGCTTTCTTGCTGTCTGGCTAGTGGGAATTCCCTCTTGTTTCCATGGAGTTCAAGTTGAGATATTTAAACATCAGGCTGGCGCCCTAGTTCAATTTTTTCCCCCACTCCTGAATGGGGTATCTAATTTTTGTGTGTTAACGCTTAAATTTTCATTATTAGTCTGTTAAATCTGGACAGAGCTTTTATGCGTATTTTGAATTTTTCTTTAGGAAACATCGGTTTGTTCTGAAAGTTACAGCAAGTTAAAAATGAGCGATACTTAACATGCTCACGTGTTTTGTGGGATGGGATATCTTTAAAAATCGGTATTTAAAAAGTAACATAATGACTTAACGTGGATTTACACAGATCACTGCCAGGGTTGGAATCTACGTGAGATTTTAAAAAGAATGCGGCGCATTATGAATGCTTAACAAAATCAGAGCCTTTCCACTTCCTTGAAAAATAAGCTCCTATATTTGTGGGCACCTCCCTGGGAATGACTCGGAGTGCTCCCTTAGTAAGAGGCAAAGTCGGCTTTGGTATCAGTAAGTACGGGGTTGATAAGGGGGGGGGCAGGTCAGCTGCAGGCTCTTTAACATTCTGAGAGTTGATGGTCGTTTTCAAAATGAAAGGGGGAGGACGTTTGGGCGTAGGAGCAGCATGGGAAAGCTGGACTGTCACGTTTTTACCCCCGGATTTGATTACAGTCAGGCGAATCCCTGACCGTATTCATAAAAGCAGAACCACTTATCTGCCCTGGGAGAGGCGGCGACTGAAGACCTGAATGAGCTCTTGAATAATGAGGCTCAGGAAAAGCTGTGATTGTGAAGCATTTAAAATTATGGAAAAGAAGATTATTTTTGTAGTGGGTAGAATCGGAAGGAAGCAACATTTTAAAACATTGGATGAAATTGGACTATGATATAGTATTAGATTTCAGTTTGGTAGCGTGACATTCATCTTTAGTGCTTTGTCTCAGATACTTACACTTTATTTTGTGACAGATTGTTGTAAATTGTATTTGCTTGGCTAGCTGATTTGAACGAAATTACTTTATTTAGAATAAGCACCTCAGTATCTTTTTTTTTTTTTTTTTTTTAAGTAATCTCTGTGTCCAGTGTGGGGCTGGAACTCACAACCCCAAAATCAAGAGTCGTGTGTTTACTGACTGAGCCAGCCAGGTGCCCCAGCACTTCATCTTAATAAATGTTTTATAGAGCTATTACTGAAATTTTAAGTTTGATGTGTCCAGGTCAACTAAAAAGCTGTATATTTACAGGTCCTCTGAGCAGCATAACTTCTCATTTTAAATGAGGAATAACTCTAACTTTAAAATTGTTTTAGTCTTGGTAAAAATGTGAAGTACATTTCACCGCATGTGCTTGTATAATAAGATTGTTACATTTTTACTCTACAGTTTGATAAGGTCAGGAGAATTCTTAAGACATCAGGAGTCTTAATTTTAGATATTACTTATAACATTTTTAAAGATTTCTCATAGAGTTTGGTTAACTTTTTTGGCTACCACAGGATATGGAGTAGATACCTATCTTTAACCTCTCTTCCTATGTATAAATCATTTGACCAGGGTCCAGAAGGCATCAGTAATTGGACCAGGATTGTATCTTTTGATTCTTTAGGGCTCTTTCTGTGTTTCATCAGTGGAAAAAGGTGTATAAGGCAAGCAACATCTTCCTTTTTTTGGTAGGACTAGATTTATCATTGCATTCTTTTTTGAAGCAGTCTTACCTGAAAAACTTTATTATTTTTCGCATTCATTTAAAATACGGAATCTAGGTTATACCTAGTATGTTTTACTGTCAAATCTTATAGACAGTGTTTGTTGCATGGAATTCCATGACAATAAATTACTTGGAAAGATCCTTCCGAGTTCTCAAAGTAAAATTTCTAAAATGATAGGAATGATTTTTCAGTGAAATCTATTAATTAGTGTATCTTGTTTGAATCCATTATATTTTGGTATTTAGAAAATGCGCGGGTCTTAGAGTCAGACAAACCTGTTCTCTTCCTGTCTCTGCTGTGAAACCTTGACCACCTCTCTACTTCAGTTTTCTCACCTGTAAAATGGAGGTAATACTTAGCCTTAGTTAATTGGTAAATAGAATCCTTAGTTGTCAGTGATTAAAATCCAGTACAACTGACTTAAGCAGAACATACTTACAGGCTTACATGGGTTGCTGGCAGGAGCAAAATTGAAAGGAAAATTCCCCGGGCAGCTCCAGGGACCCTAAGGACTAGGACTCTCTTACTCTCTTCCACTGTAGACAGGCTTTGTTCTTGGGATCTTTGCAGTGTTTCTTCTCTTATCTCAAATAAAAATTTCTAGGAAAAGGCTCTCATTGGACTTGTTTGCATCACCTGTCCATCAGTGTTGTCCCAAGAATGGTGACCTCTGATTCTCTGGCTCTGTGTTACTTGCACATCCTTGTGGTGGACAGGATAACATGATTGGTGTTGGAGATGAGTGGTGTCTTAAAGAGGAGAATGCTGGCTAGGCAGTGGCTCTTCCACATAGAGAAACTCTCTTAAGCTGCTCGACGTGGACAGACTGTTACTAAGTTATTCAATATAAATACAGGACTTCTGTAGAAGGAGTTAGACTGTTTTGTGACTTTAGCTACTCAGAATGAATTCTCACATTTCACTAATGATTCTTGATGGTGATTATCAAGATTTCGTCCTGTTGTAGCTGTATGGTGGTGTGAAGTGGGGAATCAAGAAACTACTAAGCTTTTGAATGATAACCATTTCTGGACCCATCATGCTGTTTGTTGTGTCAGGTCACCTCACTGGTGAGGCCGTTGAGTTCTCATTTCTCCTGGATCTTGTGAACACTAGTAGGATGTACTGAGCATCTTTAGGGCTTTGGAGACACAGACTTCAGCTTTAACATATGTTTGGCTGTGTGAACTTTGAATACATTTCCTCAAAAGTTAGATTAGAGGTAAGAGTATGACATTGGGTTGTGTGTGAGAATTGAAATGAAGTAGCTTGAATGATGCCTGAATATGGTGTCTAGCACAGTAAAACTGTAGCTAATATGGTGATGGTTTCAATCATTTAAATTAAAAAATTTTTTAAGATTTACTTATTTAGGGTACCTGGGTGGCTTAGTCAGTTAAGCATCTACCTTCAGTTCAGGTAATGATCCCAGGGTCCTGGGATCGAGCCCTGCGTTGGGCTCCTCACTCAGCAGGCAATCTGGGGAGTCTGCTCGCGGATTCTCTCTCTCCCTCTGCCCCTCCCCCTGCTTGTGCTTCTCTCTCAAAAAATCTTAAGAAAATTATTTATTTATTTATTTGGGGAAGAGAGTGAGCATATAACTGGGGGAAAGGGCAGAGAGAATATCCAAGCAAACTACCCTCTTGTGCACATCCGGGGACGCAGGGCTCGATCTCATTGAGATCAGGACCCAAGCTGAATCCTAGAGTCTGGTGCTTAACCGACTGAGCCACCCAGGGGCCCCTCAGTCATTTAAATTTTAATAAAAATTTTTTATTTTTTTTCAATTTCTGCCCGCTGGAAAAAATCCTGTCCTTAGTCCCCAGTCCAGACCTGCTTAAACCAGGTGCCTTTTAGTGGGTTCTGGGAATCTATATTTTAGATATGTGCTCCAGGTTATTGTTACACAACCAAAGATTGAGAACCACTAATGTAGCTGAGAAAGGTTTGACCACTATTTTCACACTACTGTTTTTAGTAGAGAAATTTCTTTCCCTCTTTGCTGAAGTCGTTTTTGAAGAGAGAAGTTCAGGCAGTGAATAGTGAAACAAATTACTTACTAAAGCCACCTTCATTTCTGCTTTGTTCATGCAAAGACATCTTATGTAAAACCAATACCCTGCACTTGTATTTTAGTTCATTGAGGATCATACTTCACATGGTTGTAAAGTGCTTAGCACAAATCTGACTAGTAATTACTTAATTAAAATTATTTTGTTCTTTGTTGTTGGAGGGGAAACTGATTAGGCTAATAAAAAAGGAATGTGTACTTTTGATTTAGAAATCCTCTTTTAACACATTAAAGTTATTATCTGTGCCATACCTGTTGAAAATACTTGTCCCCACATATTAACTTACCTGTGTGTATACCATATGAAGTTTAAACTTTTTATGTATTCAGTTTTTTCCTTTACCATTTTTATCTTTGTCTTGCAGAGGAAAACTTTCTACTGGAGGGTTCCCCCCCACTTTTTTTTAACATTTAAATCTTTAATACGGTTTCTTTTTTTCTTTTTCCCGGAGGAGGGAGTTGGGTACGATGTGATGCTTAGTTTTGAAATAGGTAAGTAATTGTTGCCTTTTGTATATAAGCAGTCGTTTTTGCCCTAAGTATTAATGAAATTAGAGATTTAAGAAAAAGAAATGAAGACCTGACAGAGCTAGAAATTAAGTTGTCTGGAGACAATTTTTAGTTGAAAATGAGTGACCCAGGTATTGATCTTCAAGTAAGGCTGATTTGTCAGTATCATGGGAATGGTCTCCTTTAATGTGGTTGAGAGTGTCTCTGTTTTTCTTGCCATAGTCACAGTGTAGGTATCTGTGCCTTGAGGTTGCACGGTGGCTCGCAGCACTTCATTCAGACTTCCACATTCTTTTGCGGGATATGCCTAAACTTATCCCTGACTGTAAGTTGTGCATGGTTTTTCACTAAAGCCTCACGACTGTGGTAGATGTTTTGAGATGCAAAGTACATTTTCCAGGTTAATTTAAAAGTACAAAAGACCTTCTGTTACCAGATTTAAGTAAACTTCAAGTTTGGGAACTGTTATTGTGGAGAGTTTATATAGTTAAATGCTCTGCTTAATCCCGAGCATGAAGTATCTCAGTTCTTCAAGTACTGAAATTTTGGGGAATTTTGTTTCTGATAATTTTTTTAACTTTTAAAATAAATATAAATTCACAGGAAGTTTCAGAGACACCCTTGTATCATTCACTGTTTCCTCCGATAGTAGGATTTTATATGAGCATAGTACAATATTGGAATATATATCAATACAACTGGAATATATATCAATATAGTGCAATATTAAAACCCCAGAAATTGACATTGTACAGCACATAGACTATTCAGATATCCCAGTTTTACATGCTTTTTGTATGTGTCATGCAGTTTTATCACATATGTAAATTCGTGCAACCACCTCCACAAACACAGCTGTGTTATCACCATAAGATCCCTTGTGCTACCCCTTGACCACTTTGTAGATAAGCCACCTAGAACTAGAAACATTATGCCATATGAAATTTGAGGATGAGTCATAGTAAAGTTTTATTTCAATTTATTCCACATGAAGATTTGCATTTATGGACTTCATTGATTTTTGGATGTCACTGTTTACTGAAGACATGCCCATTAAGCTCAACTTACAGTTTTGCCCCATTAAAATTATTTGATAGACTTACCTCTTTGAGTGTAGTAGTATATTTCTAATATTTCCAATAGTTTTTTTTCTTTTTTTTTTTTTAAGATTTTACTTATTTGAGAGAGAGATGGAGCACGAGCCAGGGTAGGGTGGGAGTTGGGAGTGGAGTGGTGGGGAGGGGCAGAGGGAGAGGGAGAAGCAGACTCCCAGCTGCGCGGGGAGCCCGATACGGGGCTCCATCTCAGGGGACCGACTGAGCCACCCGGTTGCCCCTCCAACAGTTTTAAGGAATAAAAGCAAAGCAACTAATAACCAGAACTTGGATAACTACCTTTATTTTCTCAATATTTTTTAACTTTATTTTTTTCTGGCCTGAAAGTACAGTTGCTGTCTGTCTCCAGATTAGTTTTTTTTTTCTAATCTTTGCTTGTAATAACAGTTAACTGGTACGTAATGAGTTTCTACTCTCAGTTTTTAAAACCATTTTTTCATAAGTGAGAGAATGTAAGTTTGGGAAATAAGAAACATTAAATTATGCCACCTCTTGCCGGCAGCACATCAGTGTTTTATGATTTTTTTTAAATAGTGGTATGTGTACTCACTAGTGCATATCTTTTACATTTCCATTAAAGAAGGACAGAAAGAAAAACATCCCTTCTAAAAAAAACTGTTTTGACATTGAGTTATGGTTATGAAAACCTAAAACTTTACTTTTTCCCTGCAATTTCATTTGCATTAATTACTATAGTTTTTAGCAATTTCACTTGTAGATATATATGCAAGAGAATTGAAAACATATTTGGAGAGAAATTGTAAATGAATGTTCATAGCAGCATTATAATAGCCAAAAGGTGGAAAACAACCGAAATGTCTATCAACTGATGAATAACTAAACAAAATGTGGTATATCCATCCATTTTTTGGTCGTAAAAAGGAATGAAGTGTACTGATAAGGAATGAAGGGTACTTAGGTGTACTACAGTAGATGAACCTTGATATTCAAGGGTTAGACTGAAGGAAGTCAGACTTGAGAGACCACATATTGTATGATTTCATTTATGTGAAGTATTTGTAACAGGCAAATCTGTAGAGACAGAAGATAGATTTGTGGGTGCATGGGTGGCTCAGTTGGTTAAGCATCTGCCTTCAGCTCTTGTATCATGATCTCAGGTCCTGGGACCCATTTTAAAATGTGCCATCTGTGCCCCAGCCTGTTCACAGAGATTCTGATTTAATAGTTCTCCTATGGGGCTCTCTGGGTGATTTCGCTGTGCAGCCTGGGTTTGAGATCCTCTGCCCTAGACTCTTGGCATGTGTGAGAGATATGATCAGAAATCTTTGCAAATACGAAATTTCATAGACCTTTTGCTCTAAGACAGTAACATATAATTGAATTTATAGCAAGAGAAAACAAAGTTCCATGGTGAGGGGACATGAGGTGACTTAGTTTAGTGACTCACCCTGATTTCATACTTACTTGCTTTAGTATCCAGGCCTCACTGCAGTGAATTTCAAACTAAACTATTGTTTTGAAAAGTAGTAACAATGAAAAGCATACTTTCTGTAAGGTGAGGTGTTACGGCTGTTGTTAACTGAGCTCCGACCTGCAATCTAAGAGGAAAGACTACACTTAATCCTCCGTTTTAGCTTGTGTAATACAGCGAAACGAAGATAATGTACATAATGAAACTGAGCCATGGATATCAGCGTGCTTGCTTGCTTGCTTTTTTTTTTTTTTTTCCAGTTTAAAACGCCATACAACTAGCTTGGATTGAAGATTAATTTAAAAGCCTTCAAAGGTCTTTCTTTCTTTTCTGTCAGCATTTGTGGCATTTTAAATTTGCTCCAGAATAAGCAACTATTTTGTTTGGCTGAAATGGATTTTATTTTAGGGGGATCTATGTAGTACACAAAGGAAAATTTTAGAAGTATTTCCATATTTTCTGTGTCATCTGAGGAGGGAATTTTAATATGTTTGGAGAGTTCCTGACTAGGAAATGGTTTTTCAGTCTGTACTATATTCTGCCTAACGGTTTTAAAGTCCTGTTTAAAATAATGGTACCTCAAAAAATAAAATAAAATAATGGTACCTTGAATAAGGGAGAAATTTCCAAAACTCAAGTTACCTTAGCTATATTGAATTCGCAAAATTGGATATGCAGTTTTGTTGCTGTAAAATAGAACAGTAAGCCATTATGTTATTAAGTAAATTCCTTGTTAGTTTTAAACCTAAATACTCACATAGGACTCTTTATTTCTGTCTTACTCTGTTAGGTGTAAAGATTTCTCTCTGTGTTACTGGAATCCCTATTGGATGCTGCCCTCTGATGTTTGTGGAATGAACTGCTTTTGGGAAGCGGCTTTTAGGTAGGCACCTAAATTTAATTGGTAGATCAGTGTAGGTAAGATTAGATAGTACATAGTAAATTTTTGACTGTAATAGGACACAAAAATGTTCTTTTCCTGTAATTTAATATTTTCTTGCAAGCAAAGAACTCATTTTCTGATTGGGTTTCCTATTTATCCTACTTTGTAGTTGTTACAACCAATTTTTAGTATATACTGTGTATAAAATGCTCTAACTTGTTTTTAGGTGTTATTAACTATTGTTCTTAGGAGCATTTATGATATAATTTTAGGTAACTGGGTGATGAAGTATTAAACAGGTGATAAAGATAGACTTCCCTTGACATTTACAAACATATATATGGCATTTATCTACTTTAAAGCTGCTGAAAAAACATTTTGTAGGTGGATGGGGATAATTGAGGAAGGATATGTTGCTTATTATCAGAGAAATTGAATGTTGAGGAATGAGAGGATAAAAATAAGTATTTAATGAAGGGGCAAGTATTGATATGACATTGTTTATTGAGCTTGTATGTTGCTCAGTAGTTTGGCTTTGTGCATGGCTCTGGATAACGAAGGCCTTGGATTCTGCTCTCACCTTCAGTGAAAGCAGTGTTGATAGGAATGGGCTATCAGACTGTCTCTGTGGCATAGTGGCAGGGGATACTGAGGCAGTAGCCTGAAATGCCTTCCTAAGAGTAAAATTTCTTTGAGAGACACCTATTTTTACTGTCTTTATGATTAATTTAAATTTTAATTCTACTCATTCTATTTGCTAGGCACAGTGCCAGGTGCTTAGAACCAGACTCTGAGTCTAGTTAATGTGGCTCCATCCTTTTGGGGCTTGCATTCTGTAGGAACTTCACACTAGTAAACCTGAGATAAAGATAGAGGGTGACAAGTTAAAGCTGCGATGATGGGAGAAACAAGTGAGTCATCAGGTGGGATCATCCTAAGGCACCGGGGAAGGCTTCCTGGTGGGAGTGACTGCATGAGGAACATGGAAATTAGGCTCAAGGACAGGAGATAAAGTATTTTAGATGGGAAGAATTACATTCTTTATATATATTAACAGTATATATTTTTATGTTCTTGTATCCCTGATACATTATACATTCCATGAACAACCAGGAAGGAATCATTGAAATCCATTATTTTAATTATATCTCATTGCTATGGAAAAGATTGGGTGATTGAAATTCTAATACGAGTCAGTTAAATCAGATTACTCAAACTTCTAAAAACTAAGATAATATCCTTCAGCTTGTTCATAAATTTGGAGAATTGGAGCTCTATATTTTTCATTCTTATAAAAGTTTGCTAATGAATAGAGTATTGACAGCTACCACTTTGCTATCTCCAGCCTTGTGACATAAATCTACTCACTCTGAAGGCTGAGTAAGCTTGAAAACTGTATACCCTGATTTTTACAACCTAGGTCCTTTTGTAAGTTACAACATCAGTAATAATCTTCCCTCCCCCTCTGCTGAGTGCAAGAGTACCCCAGGGAAGGGAAGTTGATCTAGTCTGAATCCTGGAGCCTCTGCTTATTATTTCTGTTTTGGCTTCTCCAACTCACTATTTTCCTAATGCTTCCAAGTATTCCTTGGAAGGAATTACATGTGGATGGATACATAATGGTATAAACCCTTGTGCTAGTTACTTTCCTAAATTTGAGATTTTAAAAGTTACACTTTTCTGTTACACTCTCTACTTGTAATATTAAATCCATAGTATTTATCTGTAATGGTTTTGTTATATGTATCAAATCATTCTGTAAAATCTCTCAAACTTAGTTTCTTACTTAGAACTTAGGATCCCTCACATTTACTCTGTTTGAACATGGAGACAAGCCAGGATGCCATACAATTGCCATATCGTTCTCACCCTGCATTGCAGTATTAACTCTAAGTAACACCTCAGTTTTGCCTACCTCTAAGAGCTTGTCTGTCCACCTGGTAAAGCTTCTTTGAAATTCCCAGTTACTACCAACCTTAGGTCCACATTTTGCCAGGCCCCAGTGGGCCCTTAGCTGGCACTGTTTTCTTCCCAGGCCTGTCCCTGCTTTCCCATTTGGAATTCTTTATACCTTGTGACTTTTATTTTGATCAAAGCTTATCTGGGGGATTATTTCCTCCCAATTAATTTACACAGTGAACATAAAATTACATAAAAAAGAAAAACTGCTTTTGATGTGCATAGGCTTTTAGTAATTTGTATCTGCATTTACTAAGTCATTTCCTGACCAACCGAATGCCTCCCAGCAGCTTGTCAGAATGCTCACACCTCTCCTGTCTTTTCTGTTCTTGAAACAAAACCAAACAAAATTTCTACAACAGCTTGCACTCAGCCCTTTTTTTCTTTAAGCATTCATTGTTTACTCTGTTTCTCTTCACCAGCAAGACTTCTTTTAAGAGTATATACTTACTTCACACCCTTAAACAACAACGAAAGACCTCCCCGCCTCAACCTGCCTGAGCAGCACTGGCTATCTGACTAAGCCCCCTCCCCTACCGTGAAGTCACCTCTGACCTCTGAATTGTTCTTCTGGGGCCCAATCTTACTTTTTTTGGTCCCGTTGACACAGGTTACCGCTTCCTCTTTCTTTCAGGTCTGTCAGTCTCTGGCTCTTAAGACCAGGGTCTCAGCTACTTGATCTCTCTGCTTCTGGACTCCTCTCCTTGTCCTGACTCCTTCATGTTAATGTTCCTTAGGACCCTGCTCTCTTCTCTCCCCACTCCCTGGATAGTCACAAGATAATTTTTATTTATTTATTTATTTATTTATTTATTTATTTATTTATTTATTTAGATATTACTTATTTGAGAGAGAGGGAGACAATGGGCACAAGCAGGGGGGCAGGAGAGGGAGAAGCAGGCTTCCTGCCCAGCAGGGAGCCCGACATAGGACTCAGTCCCAGGACCCTGGGATCATGACCTGAGCCAAAGGCAGCTGCTTAACTGACTGAACCACCCAGGTACCCCAGATAATCTTTTTAACTGATACCTCTACTCCAGAGCTCTTTTCTGAGCTCAAGAACTGTGTTTCCAGCTGCATTTTGGTCATTTTTTTAACTTGCTGATTCAGATGCCTCAGATTCTGTTGTTTAAACCTGAGTTCATGGTTAAACCTGATCTGGCTTCTCACACCTTCCCTCATGTGTCTTTTGTATCCTGGTTTATGATTGACTTTCTTCATGTCAGTCCACGGTGACTCTTCTACCCAGCTCCTTTCACACTGTTGCTCCTGATAGTCTCTTCTTCCTATTCCCTTAATTATTGTGCTCATCACTTCTTATCCAAGGATTTCCCTTCCCTACCCACTGCTTCTCCCTTCTCAGTATCCTCTTTGTCACTGTACTTACACATCTATTGTGGTTGTGAATCTTCCAGACTGTTGGCTTTGCAGAGAGATACCATGTGTTGTTCATCATTCAAGCCCCATGCCGAGCAAGGTGCTTGGCAACCAGTAAATAATGATTTTTCCCCAGCACTTTGACTATTTTTGATGTTTGTATAGTGAGCTTCCTTAACAATCTTTTTTTTTTTCTATTTAAGCAGTTACCATGCTTTCCCATTAAATCTTTTGAAATTCTGTCTTTTTGCAATCGACTGTAAATTGTATGAGGTCAGGATTGTGGCTTTCTTGCTTATCCCCAGTGTCTAGCATATGAAAGAAGTTCAAATATTCATTAAAGAGAATGAATTATATTACTAAATTGTGTTCTAAAAATTATATGGATTTAAGTCTGCACCAGCACTGTGTGAATATACAGGTGTCATTGTGACCTTAGCATTATTGGGAGTTATAATTTAGCATTTATTAGAGTAAAATGATAATTACTGATTTATATTTTGTTGATTATTTGCTGAATATATTTCCATAATTGTTGAGCTGCTTTTGTTCTATATATTTTCTGTATTGATATTTACCTCTTGAGTTTTTAATGCTTGTTTTATGATCTCTTAGGATAATATATTCTGTTTTTGCCATTGATTACAAATATCTTCCTGGTTTTATTTTTTTGTTTTAGTTATTTCATTAAGCAATCTCTCTCTCTCTCTCTCTTTTTTTAAGTAAGCTCTAGGCCCAACATGGGCCTTGAACTTATAACCCCAAGATCAAGAGTTGCACGTTCTGCCTACTGAACCAGCCAGGTGCCTCTAACCAATCTCTTAATTTTAATATTATTATTTAAAAATTCTCTTTTAATGTACTAAATTTTTTGCGACTTGAGCTTTTAAAGTATTTAATCTTTATGATGGGAACCTGAAGATTTTTCAAGTGTTGTATTTTGTTTCAAAAGTGATTATATACAACTCTTTATTTTTTATTTTTTTTTATTTTTTAAGATTTTATTCATTCATTTGACAGAGAGAGAGAGTACAAGCAGGGGGAGTGGCAGGGTGAGGGAGAAGCAGGCTCCCCAAGCAGGGAGCCCGATGAGGGGCTCAATCCCAGGACCCTGGGATCATGCCCTGAGCCGAAGGCAGATGCTCAACTGATTGAGCCACCCAGGCGCCCCTATACAACTCTTCAAAGTAGTTTTTTACCTAGTATGATAATTCAACACTTTTTTTTATAGTAAAATATTTTGTTTTTAAGCTATACATTAAGCTATACATTTTAAGCTATACATAAAGGAAATTGCCATTAATGTTTCTGAACATAGTTTTCCATTTTGTTTAACTGCAAGTTTTTAAAGATGGTTCATAGCAGTTACTTTTTAGTTGAGGTGATTGTTATCCGAAATTTAATTTGGTTTGACTTTGTATACTTCATTTATAATGCTAATTGTTGGCCTAAATATTATTAAACATTGTTTTCTTTTATAGAGAGAACACTAGGCTGACAGAACACCCTGAAAGCTTTTTGTACTGTCTAAATAAAAAAAAGAAGACACATTATTATGATTCCTTCATAGCAGAAATGTTATTTAAAATAAGTCTATTCCTAAGTTTTAGAAATCTATTAACAGTGTTTGTATTAGAATTTATCATCTAAAATACTCTAAGTATTAACTTTTTTTTTCTGATTTCCCCTCTGAACTTTTTTGGTAAGTTTCAGATCTGCAGAGGTTACAGGAATAGTATAGTGAGCACACTCACTACCTACTGTTCACTAGGTATTGACCTGTTATTAACATTTTGCCACTTTCCGTTTTTGGCTGAATCATCTGAGAGCTGCATTCATTATAATGTACGCCTAAATATTCAGCATGTATCACCTCATAACAGAAGCATTCCCCAATATAATCATAATAAAACTGTCACTTCCAGTTACTTAACACTGGCAGAATATATATTCACATTTCCTTATTTTTCTTTTAATGAACTTTACATAACCCCCCCCCCCTCCGCCCCGCATTCATCTGTGAGATCTATTTATAGTCTCCTTCCTTGTAGAACAGTTCCCCAGACTTTTTTTGGGGGGGGTGGTCGTGGTATCTTTCATGACATGATATTTTTGTTTTGTTTTTGCTGAATGTTCCTTTATTTGGATTTGCCTGTCTTTCCGTTATTAGATTCCCAATTTGGGGCAGGAATACTGCATAGGTGATACTGTGCTCTTCTTTGGGCATGCTCTCAGGAAGCCTCTGTCATAAGTTTAACATTGGTTAACTTTGATCATGTGGTTAAGGTGGTGGTGTCACATTTCTACATGTAACAGTACCTTTATCCCCTTTGTAATGTGTGGGGTTAACACCTTGATACTCTGTGGTTGTAGTAATCATTATTCTTGTTCAAATCATCGGTTACAGTGGTGATTGCAAAATAGTGATTTTTGTAATTCTGACTTTCCTTCTACATTATTGGCTGATATTTGTGTTTAAAGAAGGGTTTCCCCCTTCCCCCTAGCCTGTTTATTTAGTATCTTTTTAGACTTAGGGATTCATTTTCTTTTATGTGTTATCATTCATTAACTGTCATAATTCCTGTTGATGCTCAGATTATGCCATATTTAGCCATGGAAGCACTCAGATATTATCTTTGAATTATCTGTAGAATTTCTTCTAATCATACATCTGTAGAAAAACAGGTTTGACTTAAAAATGACCTTTTGGATAATATTTCTTTAAATCCATAGGGACCTCTTATTCACGCTGTGATTAAAATATAGGACATTTTTACAGACCAGATTATATCATCCAAGATTTATATCATTTTGGGATCAAAATTACTTGAATGGCTGCTTCCCTGTATCTTATTAGAAGGTTTTAGTTATTCCTTCCTCTAGTGGTGGAAGATTACTTTAGAATTTTTTAGGTTGCAATTATTTCCTGTTCTTGGGGTCTAGGGACAGGGTGGTAAGCAGTGACATCTTTAAAGTACGGTTTATGGTGTTAAGAGTCTGTACTGTATATAATGTTTTACTAAAAAGGGACATATATCCAAAAGGTAGTTGACAATACTCCTTCCACAGAAATTGGTGGAAGGAGTGCTGGCAATGTGACTAAAACAAGTCTTGCTAAAATGCTTGGGAGGAGTCAGATCTGGTATTGATTTTAGAGGGATTTTTTTTTTTTTAACCCGAAATAACATTTCACTTATTAAGAAGGTTTTATTATACTTGTCTTTGTGTGTAGAATTCTTTGCAAAACAGCACATGACTATTGTGGCTTACTTTTTAAATCTCTGGGCTTTAGCTTCGAGGCAGGATCTAGTTATGATCAGTTAAGCAATCCAAGCCCATTGCCAATTCTAAAGTCTTGGTGTGGAGGCACTTACCTGAAAGATGAGATAATTTAGAGCTTTGTGAAATTATTGTGTGTCTTGATTGCCTTGTCTTTCTTTAACTTTTATCACTGTGGCTTCCACTGCTTTGTGATGAACTGGGTATACATTACCTTGCTGTAGGTACAGAGGGCGTAGATAGTCTCCCCTCACATAGGGTTTCAGTGTTATAAACTGAGGGGCTTAACAGAAAAGGGGGAAACAGAGGGTGCTGCCAAGGGAGGAGGTACTACTTCTAATTGCTGTCAATGGAAAAGAACAGAGCTTTAAAAAGGCTTAAGCTATTGCTAACACCATCTATGTGAAGGAAGTGGCACAGCAGGTGGGTGGGGAAAGGATAAACTGGTAATTCTGAAACAAACGATGTTTGCACAGTTGAATAGACATGTGCAAAATTAGGCAATTGTTCCCTACTTCAAACTATTCATAAAATTTAATACCTGGCAGATTAATATAAATTTTAAAAACAAAGTATTGTATTTTAATGGCAGTCTTAACCTTAATGAAGAATGAAATATCACCACCATTTCCGATATAGTAAATAATGCTTCTTGCAAGAATACCACTTTATATGTGACTTCTTCGTTTAATACTATTAACAGAGCGGTGTAATAATATATAACTTTATGAATCGTCTGGGGGAGGTTTCTTAAAAACAGTTCAATTGTTTTAAAGAACCTCGTTTATAGAATCTTTGGCCTTTTAGCCTGAACAAAGGGTTAGTTACCAGGGTATTGAGTTTAAGTTTTATCCTCCCAGTAGAAGGATCAGGGAGGAAATGACCCATGTGTTTTAGAGAAGATAAGTATTTGGGGTCAGGAGCTTTTCAGCTCCCCTGCTGAAGGCTGACCATTACCAGTACTCACATAAGTGAGAAATGTCCCTTGTAAGAGAATTGAACCCGTTTTCAGGCCTTAGGAACCTGGTCAGACCAGAAAAGCATCAGTTTCAGACAGCTATCTTAATACTTTATCTCCAGGCTCTTAGCAAAACAGACTTACTAATAGGAAGGGATAGATCCACAATAAAAGCGGGAGCATGATTTTTTTATCCTGTTAATATAAAATAATTACACATGTTTAATGTTAAAACATTGAGATGTATGAATTTGGCATTCAGGTATGTTTTATATAGTCAATTGTTTGTATTTAATGTTATTCCTTAGTATGATTTTGTTTTCTGATCTCCTGGTCAGTTGAGGGATGACCCATGAACAAGAACAAAATTTTCCTCAGAAAATAGTTCTGTTTCACCTTAACACATGTACACGTGAATACTCAAGATTACAAAGTCCTATGTTAAGGAATATAACTACAGTTGATTTTAACTTTCAAATTTAAGAAAAATGATTAATCACTCATTCCTGCTATTGCAAATCTCAGTAATGTATACATACAACTGTTAATGTTAAATAATGTAATTTCTAACCCTTATACATTTTACAGAAAGGATCTCTGTAAGCAAGAACTGAATTAAAGTCAGATTTTATGTTTTTAGTTTAGAATGTTTGTACTTTATAATACCTTAATGTGTTACTAGTTTTATGTTGTCTTCCATTCTTCTGTTCCTTTAGCTGTCAGTTCCAAAATGATTATGCCATAATTACAGGTGAGATCTGAATTTAATATTACAAATAGGTTATTTTATTTAATAACAGTATAGTCACACATAAATAATTCTGTTCTTTATATGTAGTGGATTATTACTAGTTCACTATTAAGATGCAAGAGTTTTGAAAGGGTCCTTAGGCCCAGTGTTGTGCACTGCTGCTCTATATTAGAAGTAGGATCTGACATAGCCTAAGCCAATAACTTGCATTTAGGGAATCTTTCCTTCCAAAATCCATACTGATGTTTAATTAGTATGTTTTAGACCACCTCAGACATTTTTACCTCTCACTGATTACTTGGTGGATGGAACTGAATGTTTATAGGTGAAAAAAGTTATGTGAAGGAAACTTTTTCCTATAATTAGTATGGTTGAAGATTGGGTATAATACTGAAATATTTATGGATGAATTTATGGCTGGGTTTGCTTCAAAATGATCTGTTGGTTAGAGAAGGGGATGTGGAGAGGGATTTTAGGTGAAGAAAGAATACCTTTGAATGGATGTTTATAGCCGTTAGGAGATTGGTACATGGGGATTTATTCTATTCTCTCTACTTCATATATTTTTGAGTTTTTTTTAAATAAAAAAGCTAAAAAATAATTGAATGGAAGACCTTCAATTGGTGATGCTCCTTTTGTCATTTGGGGGGTTCCTTGAGAGAATTAAGCCCTAATGCATCTAGTCTGAGTAATGAATTAATTTTTCTCCTATGTAGAATGGTGCTACTTGTGTGCTATTCTTGGGAGAATTGAGACAGTAGTAATTTTTTTTTTTGGTTCCTAGTGAGGAACATTGGCTGAGAAAGGCTGGTTGAGGATACAGAAATATATAATTGACTCAACATTGTACTATTGTGTAATTTGATATTTCTTTGCTTTTTAAGTAGAAATTTTGAACTTCAGTTTTTGGACATGGTCAAAATACTGTGTTGTTAACATGTTACCCTGTACTAAAACTGTTGGAAAATGTGGTTTTCTTTTCTATTAGGTATAGTCTGAATGTGCAGCCCATTCAGAGAATGCACCTCGCTGTGGTTGCCTGTGGTGAAAGACTGGAAGAAACTGTAACCATGTTGAAGTCAGCTATCATTTTCAGCATCAGACCTCTTCAGTTCCATATTTTTGCTGAAGATCAACTACATGATAGTTTTAAAGGCATAGTAAGTATTTGAGGCTTTGTTAAGACAGTAGAGGTGAATATTTAATGGTATACTATCACAGAATGTTTTATTCCTTCATTGAACAAAACTGTTTACTCAGTAACTAACTGCCCTCCTAGAGTTGGGCTGCCACTTCCATTTAAGAGTGCAGATCTAGAGTGTAAGAGGAAGGTTTGTTTTTGAAAAGAAGTAAGTCACTTAAAGTCCTTTGCCAAGCATGGAGGTTTTATTTCACTGGCTATAGCTCTAGGATGATTTGACCGGAAAATCCTATGACTTAATTTTATTCCTATCCTTGGCTTGGGAGTACCTCAACAAAGTGTGCACAAAGATTTTTATTCTGTTTTCAGGGGTGGGAGCTCTTAATTGACAGTATGGAAGGAAGTGGCTTTTTGTTTTGATAAGAAAGTTCTTTATTTTGGTTTCGTATTAGTTACAATCAGTTTGGCTATATTGGCAGAAAACCCAAACTAAACAGTGGCTTAAACAAGATAGAAGTTTATTTCTCTCTCACATAAGAGTAGGCAGTCTGTGGTATATGGTAGCTCCATGTCTTCAGGGACTCTGGCTTCTGTCTTGTGGCTGAGCCATTTTAACATAAGACTTCTCCTTCATGGTCCAAGATGGCTACTCACTCTTCAGCCCTCACACCCATATTTTAACCAACACAAGGGAGAAAGGAGTGAGTAAGGCAATCCCTTCCTACCCTCTATGGATATTTGCCAGAAGTTGCATATGATATTCTTGCCAATATCTCATTGGCCTGAACTTAGTCATGTAACCTTACTGTTAACAGCTGTTTGTGAGGGTTAAAAATACACTCTTTAATCAGGACTGCCATGTAACCTCCCTAACAATAAAAAAATTATTACTATGCAAGAAGAGTAGAACAGATAGATATGAGGGAAGAACATATAAGAAAAAGAAAATTCACCTGAAATCTCACTACCTTGTGTTCTGAGACAGTGGTAAAGATGATAATAGTGATTACCCCTCTCCCCACTATCTCTGTTTATCTATGGTACACTAAGTTAACTTTTCAAACTGATTTGGTTTTTATGCTTGGCCTAACTATGTAGAAAAATATGTATTTGGTGTTTTCTCAAGTTAAAGTAGTTCAAAATATTGAGTGAAAAATACTACTTGTGACTTCAAGTCTTTTCGTTTTCAAACAAAATCTTTGATTCCAAGAGATATAAAGCTTTACTTACTGTTCTAAAATATCTCTAGTGTCTGTATTTTTTTTTTTTAAGATTTTATTTTTAAGCAATCCCTACACCCAACATGGGCCTCATACTTAAACCCCGAGATCAGGAGTCGCATGCTCTACTGACTAAGCCAGCCAAGCACCTCTGGTGTCTGTATTTGTGATATATGCTTTTGTAATCTTGATCTCTTTGCCTGGATTGTTTTCTAAAATACTAACTGAGGAATTACTCTTGTCTTAACAGTTCAGAGAATAGCAACAGATTGCTACGGAATGTGGAAACCTTTGGAAGTGTAATAAAAAAATGAAATTATTGTTTCATCTTATATGCAGCTTCAGTGTTTAGTTCAAATCTGACTGAGTGATTGCTTGTGTAATATATACTGTATTTTTAAAAAAAGATTTATTTATTTAATTATTTGATGGGGGGGGGTGGGGCAGAGAGAGAATCCTCAAGCAGACTCCCCGCTGAGTGCAGAGGCTGTTGAGAGGCTCAGTCCCACAACCCATGAGATCATGACCCGAGCTGAAACCAAGAGTCAGATGCCCAAGTGACTGAGCCACCCAGGCGCCCCAGTATATACTGTATTTTTAAACTTGGTTTTTAACTATTACAGTCAGTTCTGAGAATGTTTGGTTTTGCTTTTGATGAAAGTATCAAATACTAGTAGAACATGCTTTGACTGCAAAAAAATGACTAAATATTAGAATTAAGAAAAAAGTGACTAAGCTTTCCTTTTGAAGTTGATATTGAAAGTATCTTTAAGTGATTTATAACTCGTGCGGGAAAATAAAATGCTAGTGTTTTAAACTAATTAACAGAGACATCAAAGCAGAATGTTGGAGTTAAAGATACTCCCTTAAACTATGTTGGAAGGCATTAATGTTTTTAAAAATTACTTGAACACAGTCATAATTAAAAAAGAGCATCTTCAGCCTATTACATAAGCTACTTAGTTTTTCTCCCCCATGTATGGTTTTTAATAAATTGTTTATTATTTTTTAATTTTGACATTTTTAATTTATTTTTAATTTTTAACTTTTAATTAATTAATTTAGTGATTGTGAACCAGGGGGGAGGGGCAAAGGGGGAGTGAGAGAGAATCTAAAGCAGGCTCTACATTCAGCACGGAGCCCAACATGGGGCTCAGTCTCATGACTCTGAGATCATGACCTGCGCCAAAATTAAGAGTCGGATGCTTAACTGACTGAGCCATCCAGGTGCCCCATCCCCCTATATATTGTGAATGCTCTGTAGGAAACTTGTCTTAAACTGAATTTGAAAGAATTTAGTGTCTTGAAATGCATGAAAAGTAAACCTGTTCATTATAGATTTTCAGATCTTTTTGCTTTTTGTAATGAATTTTTCAAAAATTGGCATTGATATGTGTTTATCAGTATTTTATTATCAGGAGTATCCATGCATATTAAAAATTTATAGACAAATATTTTCTAACCAGTTTCATATTGGTCTAACTTTGAGTGTAGACATTTTCTCTTATACATACTTTGGTAGTAAAATTAGTGCTTAATTTTTTTGAGTTTAATTTGTTTAGGGATTTATAGGATTTATACATCAGGTAAAGATGAGGTAGATGAACAACGTGTAAGCTTTCAGCTTTCTAATTTTGTGGTGGTTAACTTTCATTGTGCCTCTGATCTTTATGGTGGAGTCTTTCTAGAATATTACTACGATTGTAAGATTTTGAATGAAAACAAACAGTGGGAAAGAAGAATCTGACTTTCTCTTAACTATGTACAGCATAACATATAGTATCTTTAATTTATAGCTTTTTAAAATAATCTATTGGTTTATGATTTTACAGAGAAAATTAAAAGTGAAATAATCTAAACTAAGGTTTTTTTTTTTTATATATTTTTTTAGCTTGATAGCTGGTCATTTCTGCAGACATTTAATTATTCATTATACCCAATAACTTTTCCAAATGAGAATGCAGCGGAGTGGAAAAAGCTTTTTAAACCATGTGCTTCCCAGAGATTATTCTTGCCAGTAAGTTTTTTCTCTAGTGTTTTTTTTTTCTTCTAATTTTGCTTTTACACACGAGTTAATGAGGAGTTACGTGTAAATGAGTTAAATAAACATACATGTGTAGATTTTCCCTTTGAACATTAGGAAAAATCTTCCGATAGAACAAATAAAAGCTACAAAAGAAAACATCTGTTTAAAATGAAAAATGTAAGTAATTTCTGTGGAAATACTATTTCTTACATTTTAATTTATTCAGGTGCTGCAAACTTTTATTTCTAAGAAGGCATAGAGGTCATCAGATCTTACTGGAGCCAGGTCTGTTGCCAGCAGAAATGCAGTGGCAGTATCACCTTCTTGTTGCTCACTGCATTTATACTTTGGGAAGTGAAGTAGATTGTATCATTTCATAGCCATTTCTGTCTTATACCAAGCCACCTTACCCTTTCCAGATTATATTTTAACATAGACACAAATTTAAAGCATGTGAACTCAAAGGGAAATGGGAACCATTTGTTCAGTGGAGCTATTCTTTGGTGGTGGTCTCTGGTGATAAACCCTGATCATTTTTTTTTTTTTTTTTAATATTTTATTTATTTGACAGCACAGGCAGGGGAAGCTGCAGGCAGAGGGAGAGGGAGAAGCAGACTCCCCGCTGAACAGGGAGCCCAATGTGGTGCTTGATCCCAGAACCCTGGGATCATGACTTGAACCAAAGGCAGATGCTTAACCAACTGGGCCACCCAAGCACCCCAGATCATTTTTTTTTTAATCTAAAAATATTCAGAAGCAAGGTTACCTCTTCATTTTGAGTTGATTTCATCCACATCTGTAGTAGTAGAAATACTGAATTTAAGAAGCTCACAAGTTTGTGGAAAGTGTATGAATTATGGGGGAAGAAACTTCAGTTACTTGTTATTCTTAAGTGGAGCAAAGCACTTCTTACCATATTAAGATATAATTTACTGAATCCAGGTCATCAATAAGATTTAAAGTTATAATTTTGATCACTGAGTCTGCCTAACCAGTAACTTTGTTACTGGTTAAAATTAAAAAATTTGGATCTTAGGATCTTTTTCAGAAGTCTCTGCTTCCATTGTAAGAGGCACACAAATAAGGGGTTAAGATAGGGGGGAAAAAAAAAAAGCCCAAAAAGTTTTAGATGTTTCATGTAGACTTTACAAGTTTAGAACAAAATTTTTATGTTGAATCATTGTTGTATCACATTTAATAAATTGAGTGCTCATTTTCTGCCGAGAATCTGTACTGAAGTTCTGGTATATAGGAATGAATAGAACAGATGGGTTTCTTATTTTTATAGAGCTTATTGTCTGATGTGGGAGGCAGGGATTAAACAAATACAATATGACGTTCAATAAACAAATATATTACTGAAGAAAACAATACATGATGATAGAAGCCTAAGGTTACAACCATTTCCCTTTCATTTTGTTCTGCATTATTAACAAGTTTAATCGTTGGTGTTGTGATATGAAGTTTTCCAGATCATTTAGTGGTGCAATCTGGTTAAATTCCTAAATGGAACTTGAAACAAAATATTTGAAACCTGTCAAATTGTCCTCATATTTCACTGTTAGTTCTGCATCTTTTTAACTAGATTTAAGTAAATTGATGCTTTATTTTTCTAAGTGGTAATTTTTTTTATTACTGAGTTTCTCTTCTTTGAAATAGATTACCTACTCAGGCTCTGAGTCAAACCACTTTTTACCCCCCAGCTTGATATTAAATCAGCTGGTGGGGAAAATGGGGTGATTGCAGCCTTGTAGCTGCTCATTAAGGTGATGGCTTAACCTTACCAGAAGGAGGAGGCAACAGTTTTGAAAAGGAGCGGAACAAGGACCAAACTCTTCTCTTTATATTCTTAACTAAAAAGATTTAGGTTAATCTAATAATTGAGTTCTAATACACTGATACATGCAGTAAATTTAAATTTGCAGGTATTGGATCTAAATTTTGTGGATAAGACAGATATAAAAAGTTTTCCTTGAAAAATCCCTGTAGAAGACACATTCAGCATCTCTCAGAAAGTAATAATATAGCCAGTCCTTCTTTCAAGACACCTCTTGTCTTCACCCTTGCTAAGTATATGCACATTTACTTTGATTTGTTGGGAGACAGTGAGCACGAAAATAAAAGAGCATGGATTCCAGAGTTAGGTGGTCTGGGTTCCAGTTTTGGCTCTATCATTTACTAGGTGAGACCAAAATGGTACAGTGGTGCCAGCCATTGGTGTTACAGGCCAAGGGAACAAATTCAGAAGATCTTCATTTTATTGGTTTATTTCCGTATTTATTTTAGGAAATTAAGATTCAGGATATAAATTCAGCTAAGTTAATGTTATTTTCCATTACTAAAAACATGTCCCTAATCTTTGAGAATATTGCTTTTATTTTATTTTATTTTATTTTATTTTTCCAATTGTTAGTATTTATTTTTTTGTTCTGATTTGTTTTTATAGCCTTTGTTCTCTGAAAGTTAATATAAAGATTAGCATAGTATCTCTATATATACTATTGTAAAAAAAATGACAGTTTAGGCAAGATTACTTTAAAAAATTAACATAATTAACTTGTCTCATAGGTATTTCTTTTACAACTAAAGCCTTTTTTATGTTTTATATTAAATAAATAGAATTATAATTAGTGTTTCAAATATCTCTTCTCATAGTTAATCCTGAAAGAAGTTGACTCACTATTATACGTCGACACTGATATCCTTTTTTTACGGCCCGTTGATGATATTTGGTCTTTACTAAAGAAATTTAATTCCACACAAATTGCTGCAATGGCGCCAGAACATGAAGAGCCACGAATAGGATGGTATAATCGCTTTGCCAGGCATCCATATTATGGAAAAACTGGAGTAAACTCTGGAGTTATGTTGATGAACATGACTAGAATGAGAAGGAAATATTTCAAGGTAAGTCACTGATACAGGTAGTTGGTTAACAGTTCTCTCTTTTCCTTCCACAAATTGTTTGGTTTCCAATTTAGTTTTGTTTTATTAAGAACTAGATTAAACTACTCAATTTTCCCACTTATTTAGAATAATTGAAGAAAAGTGTGTCCTTAGTATTCTGTTTATTGGACCATTGTGGTAGATCAAGCCAGATGTCCTTACAATGAAGTAAAATAACAATGCATTAAGTAGTGAACGTCATCTTTCTAGATTGTTATTCTAGGTAATAGTTGTCATTTTGTAGTTGTGCAACTGTAGAACATCTTGGGGGTGATACAGAGATGTGAAGAGCTTAAGACTCTGGACCCTGTTGGCCAGGTTTAAAACTCTAAGACCTTGAGTGAGTTTTGAACATCTCTGGGCTTTAGTTTTCTCAAATGTGAGATGAGGATGGTAGGTAACATTACTTACATCATAGGACTTTTATAAAGATTGAATTAGAACAGTGGCTAACACATTATAAATGTGAGCTGTTTGGGGCTATTGGAAGTTAACATTAAAAAAAGAAAATTCTTGGGGTGCCTGGGTGGCTCAGTTGGTTAAGCATCTGCCTTCAGCTCAGGTCATGATCTCAGGGTCTTGGGATTGAGCCCTGTGTTGGGCTCCCTGCTCAGTGGGGAGCCTGCTTCTCCCTTTCCCTCTGCCCCTCCCTCCCACTGTGTGCCTTCTCCCTCTCTCCCTCTCTCAGATAAAAAAAAATCTTGCATGTTTCTTATCTCTCAAATTGTGGGGTCATTGGAAGAATCAGGCTATTTAGATTCTCTGTGCATTCTGAATAGAGGAGTATGTTGTATGGTTTACCAATTTTATGTTGATGAGTTTTATGTCATTGTAGTTTGTGGGCACTGGAGTCAAACTGTCTTTATGTTTAACCTTGCCACCTGTGCATTTATTTAACCACTAGCTGGTTAACTTTAAATGTCAATTCTCTCAACTGAAAAATAGATAATAAATGGACTTATGTAGGTTGTCAGTTTAAAGGAGATCCTTTTAGAATACTTAGTGCATCTCTTCAACAAATGGTGCTGGGAAAACTGGACCATTTTCTTACAGTATACACAAAAATAAACTCAAAATGGATTAAAGATCTAAGTGGGAGACCTGAAACCATAAAAATCCTAGAAGAGAGCACAGGCAGTAATTTCTAACATCAGCTGTAGCAACATTTTTCTAGATAAGTCTCTTGAGGCAAGGAAGACAAAAGCAAATATAAAATAAACTGTTGAGACTACATCAGAATAAAAACCTTCAGCACAGCAAAGGAAGGAAACCATCAACAAAACTAAAAGACAATCTACTGAATGGGAGAAGGTATTTGCAAATGACATACGTAATAAAGGGTTAATATCCAAAATATATAAAGAGCTTTAACAACTCAACACCCAAAAAACAAATAATTCAAATAAAAAATGGGCAGAAGACATCTGCAGATATTATTCCAAAGAAGACATCCAGATGGCTGATACACACACGAAAAGATGCTCAACATCACTCATTCTAAGGGAAATACAGATCAAAACTACAAAGATACCACTTCATACCTGTCAGAATGGCTAAAATCAAAAACACAAGAAACAAGTGTTGGTGAGGATGTGGAAAAAAAGGAAGCTTTATCCAGTGTTGGTGGGAATACAAATTCGTGCAGCCGCTATGGAAAACAGTATGAGGTTCCTCAAAAAAATTAAAAATAGAATTACAGTGTGATACAGTAACTCCACTATTGGGTATTTTCCCAAAGAATACAAAAACACTAATTCAAAAAGATATATGAACCCCTATGTTTATTGCAGCGTTATTTACAATAGCCATAAAATTATGGAAGCAAGCAACCCAAGTGTCCATTGATAAATGAATGGATAAAGAAGATGCGTGTGTATGTGTATGTATGTATGTATGTATATATATACACATACACACACACACACACACACAATGGAATATTAACCATAAAAAGGAATGAAATCTTGCCATTTGCAATAACATGGGTGAATCTAGAGAGTATAATGCTAAGTGAAATAAGTCAGAGAAAGACGAATACCATGTGATTTCACTCTTTATGGAATTTAAGAAAGAAAACAAATAAAGAAAAAAGACAAACCAAGAGACAGACTCTTGACTATAGAGAACAAACTGATGATTACCAGAGGGGTGGTTGGAGGGGAGATTTGTGGAATAGGTGATGGGGATTAAAGAGCACACTTACGATGAGCACTGAGTAATGTATGGAATTGTTGAATCACTATATTGAATGCTTGAAACTAACATAACATTGTATGATAATTATACTGGAATTAAAATGAAAAATAAAAATAAAATGCTTAGTGCAGAGCATGGCACATAGTAAGCACTTAAATGTTAGCTAAATACAGTGACTTCTGAAATACCCATATAGACGTGCTGTTTATCCCTTTCCATCTGGTTGGGGCTATATTAAACATTAAGGAATATTATGTCTTTTATGATAAAAGAAAATATGTTTGTATATGTGTATGTATGCATATATGTCAGATGTTTTTCTTTTTTAAGATTTTATTTATTTATTTGAGAGAGAGTGAGGGATAGAGAGCACGAGAGGGAAGAGGGTCAGAGGGAGAAGCAGACTCCCTGCTGAGCAGGGAGCCCGACGCGGGACTCGATCCCGGGACTCCAGGATCATGACCTGAGCCGAAGGCAGTCGCTTAACCAACTGAGCCACCCAGGCGCCCCATGTCAGATGTTTTTCTTATGGCTTCTGGTAGACCAGACTTCACACCATTTTTTATTACTCCTTTTTGTGTGTCGTATTTAAATTTTGGCCTCATTTAGAGTTGTTTCTTTGATTCATCTTTGGTGTATGCAGCAGAACTGCTTGCAGCCATGCCCATGCCTCGACATTTCAGTCTTAGTACTGTTTGTACCCATCATTCTTTTTCTGTAGATCTAGTAAACTTAGTTTTTTTGTTGTTGTTTTTAGCCTTCTCATTTTCTGAACCTTTTTGAAACCTTGATTTCATTTCAATTTTGTCTCCCACAATTGAATGCTTTAACGAGGCTAGTGTAACCTGTGCTCTTGCTTAACAGTGAACATTTCTTCAGCTACCTAATTTGTTAATATAGCTTAAGTTTTAAAATTTCACGTACCATAAAGTTGTACTCAATAAAACAGGCATAATACCATGAGTTCCTCCTATTCTGATTGTTGGCTTATGCACAGTAATATTATACCAGAAGATGGTGCTATAAGATTACCTGCTAAGGAATAATATGACTTCTCAGTCACTCTTCATTTGAAATTCATAGAATTATGAGAAGCTTACTATTGCAAAGAACCTTAGAGATAATTTAGTAAACACCATTATTTTTTAAACATTTCAAAATTAACAACTCTCCAGTTCAAATCTATGATTGTCTTTTACTTATTTAAATGTCACTCCTAAATACTTTCAACGTCCCCCCCCCCCTTTTTTCTGTCATGGCATGTTCTAAAATCAACTAGAGCTGTAGATACAGGAGTTGAAATCATTTCTAAACTTTCAAACTTTGTTTTCTTTTTTTTTTTAAAGATTTTATTTATTTGACAGAGACAGCGAGAGCAGGAACACAAGCAGGGGGAGTGGGAGAGGGAGAAGCAGGCTTCCTGCTGAGCAGGGAGCCCGATGTGGAGCTCGATCCCAGGACCCTGGGATCATGACCTGAACTGAAGGCAGACGCTTAACGACTGAGCCACCCAGGCGCCCCTCAAACTTTGTTTTCATCTGTGTGTAATAGCCTTAATGAAGAAGACTATGAGACACATGATTATATATTAATTACATTAATACATTAATTCAGTAGGTGCGGTTTACTTCAACCTATCATCCCTGTGTTGCCCAGTGGGAACAACACAGATTTGCTTTGTTTTCAAATATTACTATATTTATGATTGCTAATATGTTTCTATAAAATTTATTTTTGATTCCTTTTTTCATATGTTTGTCTTTGTTTTTCCTGATTGTTTTCCAGACTGTATCTGTAGCAAACATTGCCTTGTTTTTTCCTACTAATTCTACAGTTTCTGGCTCTAGTGATATAACTGATTACTTATACTAACTTTCTAAATTGTTCCGTACACATCTGTGAATGTTGCTCCATGGTAGTTATTGCATGAAAAGCTGTAAGACTACCCATTTAAGATAATGGCCATATTTTAAATTCTTAATTTGCTTTGCTGTCACCCAGTCCCTACCATTCATGACTGTTCATTTCCAAACTAATGTATTATATGCATTAAAAATTAAAATAGTAAAAATTCTGCTTTTTTGTTTCTCATTATGCTTGGTAGATAATGATAAAGTAGTTAAGCTATTGCTTTGTATTTTGTGTTATGATTATATTTGCAGTATTGAATCCCTATTTGGATATTTCTTAGCTTTTTTCTATTTATTAGGGAAAACCAAAGAATATAAATAAGGCATCTTTAAAAATTTTTTTGTTGTTTTTATTTACTTTTTAAGTATACTCAACATGGGGCTCAAACCCACAACCCTGAGATCAAGAGTCACATGCTCTACTGAGTCAGCCAGGTGCCCCCAAATAAGGCATCTTGAGAATCCTTTTCTTGTAGATTTGCTGTACTCTGTTCACATCCTGCCATATATTACTTTGTAAAGTAATCTTTGTCTGTTTTCTCCACCTACTGAGGGCAGGATGTGTGTTTTGTACAACTTTGTAATGGGAATATTTAGAATGGGGTATGAGGGGCGCCTGGGTAGCTCAGTTGTTAAGCGTCTGCCTTTGGCTCAGATCATGATCCCAGGATCCTGGGATCGAGCCCTGCATCTGACTCCCTGCTCAGTGGGAGGCCTGCTTCTCCCTCTCCCACTCCCCCCTGATTGTGTTCCCTCTCTTGCTGTCTCTCTCTCTCTCTGTCAAATAAATAAAATCTTTAAAAAAAAAAAAAATAGAATGGGGTATGACGTAAAGTAGCAACTTAATAGGTAATTCCTGACAGAGGATAGATGAAAGTTTTAGAAACTGGGCCATTAATGAGTTATTAAAAAATATTGGAAAGAACATTTCCACATCCGTGAAGTAGACATGATGGTTATTTTTACGAATTTGTAAAATGTATGTGATGGAGAACTTTTATTCTAGTCTATATATATATAGCTTATGAGAACAGAGTATCTGAACATCTTACTAACAAGGGTAGAACTCTTTTCAGAGATTAGTGCAGTAACTGATCTTTGGGAATTGATGAGTTCCCAGTTTCTAGCACTGTTGGAACATGCTATGAATAGCCAGCTATCAGTCCTATATTTATATATAAGATAGACTTATAATGGTAAGTATTTTCAAAAGCATACATTATTCTGAAATGGAATTAATTGATCTTAATATGTGCACATTTTGGTGGTAGGTTGGCTAAAATTAGTAAATTAGAACTACATTTTTCTTTTTAAAAATTACAAAACGAGGGGCACCTGGCTGACTTAGAGGAGCATGTGACTCTTGATGTTGGAGTTGTGAATTCAAGTTCCACGTTGGGTATAGAGATTACTTAAAATAAATGAATAAACTTAAAAAAATTTATAAATTGCAAAATGAAATCAGGCTTATAAAAATTGAAATAATTCATTGTATGTAGAATAAAAAGAAAAGTCTCCCCTTATATAGCATTCTTCCCAGTTTCATTTCTTTGCCCAATGATGTTATAAACTTTGCTATATATGTTTCAGACCTATTAAAAAATGTGTTTTGAAACAGATATACATGTACATAAGCACTTACATCTTTTTTATGCCTTTTATACATCTTCAGTTTGCCTTTTTTACTTAGTAAATATGTAATTGACTCATTTTTATGTCAGTACATAGTCTGTCACATTTTTAATGTGTAAATGAGATAGCAGAGAATGGATGATTTGGTTTTATTGTTTGTGTGTACTAGTATGAACATGTAGTTATATGGCTGGAAATATCTCATATTTTAGCTCATACTTTCCTGACTATACTACTAGTGTGGAAAATTATATTTTCATTTAATTTTTGGCCATTTGTTTCCTCCTTTGTGAATGGCTGTCCATACCCCTTGACCATTTCTCTACTTTAAAATTTTTTTCTATAGCCTGAACTCCTTTTATATGTCATGCCTCTTTTTTTAACAAAATTTTTATTTAAATTGAATTTAGTTAACATATAGTGTATTATTAGTTTCAGGGGTAGAATTTAGTGATTCATCAGTTGCATATAACACCTAGTGCTCACTACATCAAGTGCCCTCCTTATTGCCCATCACCCAGTTACTCCATCCCCCCATCCCCCTCCCCTCCAGCAACCCTCAGTTTTTTCCCTATAGTTAAGAGTCTCTTATGGTTTGTCTCCTTCTCTCTTTTCTTTTTTTTCCCCTCCCAGATATTCATCTGTTTTGTTTCTTAAATCATATGGTATTTGTTTTTCTCTGACTGACTTATTTTGCTAGCGTAATACCCTCTAGTTCCATCCAGATTTTTTACACATGGCAAGATTTCACTCTTTTTGATGGCTGAGTAATATTCCTGTGTGTGTGTGTGTGTGTGTGTGTGTGTGTGTGTGTGTGTGTGTATGTGTATGCCACATCTTCTTTACCCATTCATCTGTTGATGGACATCTGGGCTCTTTCCATAGTTTGGCTGTTGTGGACATTGCTGCTGTAAACATTGGGGTGCATGTGCCCCTTTGAATCACTTTTTGTATCCTTCGGGTAAATACCTAGTAGTGCAATTGCTGGATCATAGGGTAGTTCTATTTTTAACTTTTTGAGGAACCTCCATACTGTTTTCCAGAGTGGCTGCATCAGTTTGCATTTCCACCAGCAGTGTAAGGGGGTTCCCCTTTCTTCACATCCTTGCCAACATCTGTTTGTTTTTTTTTTCCTAAGACTGCACTGGACCTTGTAATTTGATCTTTCATTGATTTTTTTTTTGACTAGGTATATGTCTTTATATATATATACATTTATATATTTATATGTATTATATTTGAATGGAAAGAATCCAATGAAGATTTGAACATGGCCTGGTACAAGGTGCCCACCAGCCCTGTCTATTGAATGAGTTGCTAGTCTTTGTTCTTGTACAATTAAGAGTTTCCTTTTCAGATGCTAAGAATATTTAGTTAACTTGCTAAATGACTTATTTCGGAGTTGTCCTTTCAATAAAGTATTTTCTTATTTTTTCCTTCAGTAAGACTTCTTTCAGTCATTTTCCAGATTGTTTTGGGGGAATTTCTGATTATTTTATAATTATTGTGTTTACTGTGTTCTGAAAACTTCACACAAGGGTAATACAGTTATAGCAGATAATACTTAGTTTAAATATATATCTTTTCCCCTTAGGAATTCTGGCTTTTCTTTGTCTTTCTTAGAGGATAGATTGTTTTTACACCCATTGTGTTTATTATATATCCTAGACTAGATTATCACAATGTCTTTCAAACTGTGTGTGGAGGATCAATTTTGTTTTTTAAATGTACAATTTTTCATGAGCCAATACTTTTGTAAAAATGATGTAAGTTACTAGAAAAGTATTAGATTAAATAGACCTAAAATTCTGTTGAGTTGCTATAAAGGTTTCTAAATGTTACTCTTAATTTCTGTACTTAATATTGTGAAGGACTTTAAAAATTCACTGTTGTGCGCATTGAAAATTGTACTTTGAGGAATATTGGGCTAAGTCTGAAGAGTTTAAGAGTCAAATGAATTGAAAAGGCTTAGTATTCAGCTCCACTGCTTCTCACCCACATTCACAAGATCTAGAGCTCTCCGTCAACTCTTGTTTCCTTGGGTATTTGACTTTATGTTTTTTAAAATAATGAGCTATGAGCAACTTTATAGAAGCTGAAAAGGCCCCTGATGAAATTCACTGTTTTTGATTTACCAGTTTCAAATTGATCTCTTTGAAATGTACAATTATAAAAGATTTACAAATCAGTCTGAATGATAGTGATCCTGGTAACAATAATAGCTAACACTGAGATGTGTCATGTGTCAAGTACTCTCTATTTATATGTTAATAGGTTGAACCCATAATAACTGATAGACCTAGGTACTATGTCTAGGCATATGACATAGATACTAAAACTATCTGCATTTTAGGATGAGGACACAGTCATTGTACTTTAAACTATCACCTACTTTCTCTTTCCCAATCTTTCCTGACTTACAGTTTTATCACTTCTACATTGTAGCTTCAGATACCTTCTTTTATTATCTTTACTGTTCCCAAATAGACAGCCCTACTCACATTTAGGTTTACATTAGTCACTTGGTTTTATAACAGAAGAAGTTTGCATTTCTTCTTGGTGCTCTGTGATGCTAAGGGAAGAATGGGGAACTGTCATTGTGCTGCCATATTAAACATGGAAGCCTGAGGATCTTCTTAATGTATTTACCAACAGAATGACATGACAACTGTACGGCTGCGATGGGGAGATATACTTATGCCATTGCTTAAAAAATACAAACTTAACATCACATGGGGGGATCAAGATCTGTTGAATATCATCTTTTTTCATAATCCAGGTAATCATTTAAATTTCTTTTATTCTTTGCATTTGTAAAAAAAAAATCATAGATAATATTTAGTCAGAAATGAAGAAATGCAATTATTTGATTTTGGCTTATATTAATGATTATCACTATGTTTAAGACTGGGTAAAACTTTTTTTTAAACTTTTCTTAATATTGTTTTTGTAGGAAAGGATCTAAATGCCAAACATTTTTCACTGTTTTAAATCTTCTCCTGTAAGAGCTGTGTTTTTAAACTAAAATCTTTGCAGAATGTTAATTCTATGGAATTGGGGTTATTTGCTTCATTGTTTTATTTTTCTTCACATAGAAAGCCTTTTTGTTTTTCCGTGTCAATGGAATTATCGACCAGATCATTGTATATATGGAAGCAATTGCCAGGAAGCAGAAGAAGAAGGAATCTTTATTCTTCATGGGAACAGAGGTGTTTACCATGATGATAAGCAGCCAGCATTTAGAGCCATTTATGAAGCACTGAGAAATGTAAGAATGTGGTTTTTTTTGTTGTTGTTTTTTTAACTTTCTATGTTGAAATTCTTACAAACTTAGAGAATTTGCAAGAATATACAAAGAATTTCCATATCCTTTACTCATGTTCATTAGTTATTAACATCTTACCTTACTTGCTTTACCATTGGTTCTCTTTCAGTATAGACAGGTTTTGTTCTGAACCATCTGAATGTAAGTTGCACACATCATGCTCTTTTACTCCTTAAAGATTGTAATGTGTTTTCACTAAGAACAGGGACATTCTCTTCTTAACCACAGTACAGGTATCAAACTCAGGAAATTTCATATTGATACAGTTCTTTCATGTGTATTCTCTTTCGATACAGAACAGTTTCTCAGTTTTTGTCTTTTATGACATTGGCGTTTTTGGAGAATAGAGCCTCTTTACCTTTTTTTCTTATTAGAATGTTCTTCATATTGCCTTGTCTGATGTTTCCTTATGATTAGGTTCAGCGTATGCCCTCATGGTCAAAGTACTGTGTAAGCAGTGTGAGCTTCTCAGGGTATCACATTCACAGCCACCTTTGTCTACCTGCCTTTCATTGGCGATGCTGCTTTTGATCACTCACTCAAAATGTTCAGTTTCTCCACTGTGTAGTTGTTTTTCCTCTTGTAAGCAGTCTGTGGGGAGACTCTTTAAAATCATGTAAATACCTCATCAAAATTTCTATGCTACATTTAGCATCCATTGTTGGTTCTTGTTTAAACCAATCTTTACTATGGTAGTTGCAAATGGAGGATTGTCCAGCCCTAGTTGTCCTTCTCCGTACAACTTTGGCACTCAGCATTCTCCTGTAAGGAAGAACCATCCCCTTTTACCCATTTATTGACCGATACATTATTAGTAAGAAATCATTGATAGGTGTTTTTTTTCGATGATTTATAACGTATTATTTGTGTTGATGCCTAAGTTGTTTCCAGTTTGGCCATTGGAGTCCCTTTTGCCAAACTCGTATGCCCATCTGACATATTCCCTTCATTATTTTGGGTTATTTTGGTTGACTTCAAGTTTCATGCGTTGTGGTCTGAAAGTATGCATGGAATGATCTCGATCTTTTTATGCTTGTTGAGGGCTGATTTGTGACCCAGTATGTGATCTATTCTGGAGAATGTTCAACATGCACTCGAAAAGTGCACCATTTATTTAAAAGTCTGTCTTTAACCCAAAGATTTGAGATACTGACTTTATCATATACTGAAGTTCCATTTGTAATTTCCGAATTTTCTCTTTTGTTCTACTGGTTTGTCTAATGCTGCACTGTTTTAGTTATAAAGGCGTTGTACTGTGTTTCAATATCTGGGGGGTTACTCCCTCTTCAGAGCCTGTTCTTAGTGTTTTCCTAGCTATTGCATATTTATTTTTCCACAAATATTAACTCATTTTACTCAAAAAACAAATATTAACTCATTAACTCAAAAAACTATTTTTATTGGGAGCGAATTAGTTTCTAATATTAGGAACTGCTGACATTTTGATGGTGTTGAGACATCTTAATCAAGAGCAAGGACTATCTTTCCATTTGTTCTTTCAGGAATGTTTCATAGATTTCTTCATTCAGATTTTGAACATATCTTAAGTTGATGCTTAGGTATTTTATCTTCTTTGTTGCCTTTGTAAATGGGGTTTCCTTTTTTAAGCATCTGCTTTATATTGAATTTGAGAAAACTCTACTGCCCCTTTCCCACCCTTGCCCCAGATGTCTTCTTCTTCCTTTTTTTTTTTTTCTTGTTCTTGCAGTCCTCTTTTATGTGATTAAGGTGGGTTGACAGGGAGAGATGACTGTACTTTACATATCTCTAGTTTGAATCATAAACCAGGTCTCCATGAATATGTTGGGGACCAAAACTTGGGGCAAGTCCAGATGAAGATTGGATTTATGATTTTGCTTAATGAGCTATATCCTCCCGTCTATGCAGTTAATTCACTGATACTTGGGGAGAAGTATATGTGACCACTTATCTCTCATGCAGATGTACTCTTTGTTCTGCTAGACTGTGCCTAATCTTATGGGGACATGAAGACAGAACATAAGTAAATAATAGGAGTGCTAGTTTGGTTTAAGTGTGGGGGTCAGGAGAAGAGCTGATTGCCTCTGTTTTTTAGATTCTTATTCTTTTTATTGCTAATGACTGGTCTAGTACAGCCTCATAAATAGGAATGAGGATGAAAATACTTAACTGTAATCCATTGTGACAGAGACTGTACTGGAACCGTAAGACAGTATAAGAACTTTGTTTGCCTTGAAGAGCCTGAGGAAGCCTTGTGCCTCACTCACAGGAGGCCTTTGAAGTGGGCCTTGAATGAGGAAGAGTTTTGCAGGAGCAGGGTCTATCTGGGCAGAGTACTGCCTGAGAAAAAGGCTCAGGGGTTTTAACACAAAAAAACACTTTTTTCATGAAAAGTCCATGGAGAGGTCAGGTGTGGAGCTGTTCAGTTGGAGTGGAGTGCTGGGTGATGATGGTAGGCAGTGGCTGGGCTGGGATCAGTGTGGTGATGATACGCTGCATCAAGGTGATGATCTGCAATGATAAGGAATTGAAGTTTTTTCCTGGAAATCAGTGTTTCTCAAACTTGGTGGTAGGCAAAGTGCTAATGGCATTGTAGGCTACCATTTTGTATGTTATTTGCTAAGTTTCTTCTCCTGTAAACTAGACAGATAAAGTTTCTGTATAATCAGTTTATCATGATATAGCTATGCTCACTGAAGAATTCTAAAATTTAGTGTCGATGTTCATTTAATGTAGCAGACCTTATATGCCCCCAGAAATCAATTTTGTATTTTAATGCTTTATCATGTGTTGTCAAAAGGTGATAAAAATGAAGAAAAGTACTTTTGGGGTTCTGAGACTGCAGAATAGAAAAGAAATGCATTCTTATAAAAATATGATTTCTTTGTTTCCTTTGAGCACTAAGAAAATCCATTATTAAGGAATTAAATTCCACTAGTTTTATTTGATCTTTTCCTTGATCTTTGGTAAATATATACCTTTAAAAAGCCGAGTAATGGTTTTAAGCTGACTAATTACACTTGATTTAAAAAAATAAATCTTTTAAAATGACTTCAAATACTGAATTGATTATTTGTATTTGTTTTGAATCTGTATTAACTATAGCTGTATCTTTCCATTTTTCAACTTAATGAAGTTAATCAGTCTTTTATGGTGCTCTTGGTTAGTGTTTTTATCTCCCCTTATCTATAATTCAATGAGAAGTGTAATTTTTAAAAGCAATGTATTCAGACAAGGGTATTTATGCAAGTTTCAGACAGAAGCTTAGTCATTGCCATTGAATGCAATGAACAATATGAATTATAAAGGATATGAACCATCTTTAAAATGTAAATGCATGGCTGTGTCTTCCAGCAAATCAGGTTTTACAGTCCATACATATTTGTTAAATATTAGTTGTTGAGTGAATAAAAATATTAAGATTAAAAATTGCAAATGGAAAATGGGAACAAAACATTTTATTGCTCTGTAAGGTATTTTCTGCTTCATGTATTTCATTCTGAATTACATTTCTTGGTGGTTCTGTGTTAACTTTGAATTACTTCACATCCTGCTTATATTTGCATAACTGGTCTCCACAAGGGAGTCGTCCTGAGTGTTTCCCTTCTGTGCTATGGTCGTCCACCTTGTCCATGGGGGATACGTTCCAAGCTCCCCAGTGGATGTCTGAAACTACAGATAGTACTGAACCGTATATATACTGTTTTTTCCTATACATACATATCTCTGATAAAGTTTAATTTATAAATTAGACACATAAAAGATTAAGAACAATAACTAATAATGAAGTAGAACAATTATATAACAATATATTGTAATAAAGGCAGAGAAGGAAAAGTGAAAATGAGTCAGGCATAGCATACAGTGTGGAAAATGGAAAAAGGTCTCCAGTCAGGTGAGGCCACATGTGGGCTCTGGGAAGGGGAACACCTAGATGCAAGTTATGTCCTGCACAGCTCTGCAGTGCTACAGATTATGTGAATGGCAGAATGTGCCATGACTTCAGGCTCTATATGGGTGGCAATTTTGGTAATTCATCATCTTTTCCCTAAAAGGTCAAATTAGTTGTGTTATATGTGGACTAAAAGAGCTCTAATTCACGAGGCACTGTTTTTATTTTAGAAAAATCTTCTTCAAAATACTTAGGGAAGAAAACAAAATTTTTTTTAATTATTCATTTACTTAAGTAATCTCTACACCCAACATGGGGCTTGAACTCATTACCCCGAGATCAGGAGTCGCACGCTTCTCTTACTGAGCCAGCCAGGCGCTCCATGAAAAAAAAAGTTTTTTTAACCACAAACACTGGGATTTAAATAACATGTAAATGAATGAACTGAATATCAGGTACTTCATATTTCTGGGAGTTAACTTTTAAACACCTTTGTAATGTCATTTTCCTTTTTAAAATTTTTTTTTTAATTTTTCATTATGTTCAGTTAGCCAACATATAGTACATTATAAGTTTTTGTTGTAGTGTTCAGTGATTCATGAGTTGCATATAATGCCCAGTGCTCATCCCAACACGTGCCTTCCTTAATACCATCACCTGGTCACCCATGTTGTCATTTTATTTTCCTTGCTTAGAAAAACGTCATAGTTTGGTCTTCCCGTTATTATTAGCCTCTCAACCACAGTCATCTAAGGATGTTTTTTGTATGCATTGAGATGTTACTTGATAAAGGTGATAAACCTTGATAAAGGCTGCTCTTTTTCAACATGGCTGCTCTTCTTAACCCCAAATAAATTTTAGGCGTATCCATATACAGCACTTTAAAACAAACAAACAAAAGACCAATCCAGCTTTTATTAGTTTCTCCCAGTTACATGCCAGTACTGTTTTCAGTGCATTCTTCCTAGTTAAGCATCCTCTCCTCTTTTCGTTTTTAAATCTTCTAAACAGTGTTTATCTTCAGTGCACGTGATTGGGTTTAAAAATCATCCCAAGAGTGATGGTTTCATGCAGTTAATGCTCATAGTTTTCTTTCTGAAGAGATACTGAGGTTCATCATCTCTTTACATCTCTACATTGATAAAAGCCATGTTACAAATTATCCTTTAAGTTCATCCTGTTCTCCAAAGATTGACTATGGCTTCCCATAGACTCACTAATTGCAATTCAAGTGGCACTTGCTTTCCTCTTCCTCAGTGTCATGGTAGTGAACCTTGGGGATCACCTTAGGTCATTTGAGCCCTCTGAGATGTCAGGTTCTGCATTTCCTTCAGGAGCTTGCATTTTTCACTGACTCTAAACTTTCACATAAAATATTCCATTTTTAAGCCCCATCTATCTTTCTAATTGAAAATATGCCTAGTGGCAAATGCCAAATCAAAAAATATAGCTGGTTGAAAACACTAAAATCAGAAGTTATAATAACTGCTACTACAGTGTTTTTCAAAATGTATTCCTTGGGATATTGTATATTTTACAGTAAAAAAGGACTCTGGTCAAAATATATTTTGGAACTGGTGGGCCAAACAACATTCAACACATGTATTTTTCATTTTACTGTTTACAGTTTTTCATGTGCTGGTGTGAGTTCCCATGAAGAGTGCGTGATGTGGAGCACCTCCCAAATGCATTTACCCATGGGGCTGCTTTGTATAGTTAGGGCTCTTTGGGAAACCCTGAACTGTGCTGTCATTTTGCATTCATTCCTCCCACTGCATGCCTCTCTCTCAATTCTTTGTAGTCTAGCCTCAACACTATTATCGGAGTGAGTTTTGGCTTTCCTTAGTGTCTGTCAGATACATACCTTCAGAGCTTTTGGTCATCATCTCACAGCAGTCGCTGTCTCCGGGCCTTCTCTGCTCTTGCACACATTCTTGTCTTGGCTTGAAATGCCGTGCCTCCATTACCTCTTCTCTGAAAAACTTGCCCTGATGCCCTCAGTGATTTACTGTGACTAATGTGAGATCATACATCCATTTAATTCATTGAAAATATTTGTTGAGCATATGTCCTTTTTGTGAGACTAAGTGGAAGTTATCAATATTAAATTGAGGAAGTTTAGAGGATAATTGAATTTTCATATATATATATATCTTTGTCTTTTTATTTTCTTTCTCTAGTGTTCTTTTAAAGATGACAACATCCGTTCCTTATTAAAACCTTTAGAACTGGAACTACAAAAGACAGTCCATACGTACTGTGGAAAAATTTACAAAATATTTATCAAACAGCTAACAAAAAGCATACAAGATCGTTATGATAGACCACCAAAGGAAAGGTGATCCTTGGTGACCGTTAAATCAAATGAATTAAAACAACAAAATATCAGAGGACATGTATGAAGAAATGGTCTTGGATGAAGTGTTCAGGAAGGAATTATTCATCTTCAGAATAATTGTTTCTCCTGAAGAAGTTAAATGAGTATATATATTCATGTAATGAAGAATAAGTTAAAGTCTTGGACTCCAGCAAGAAGACATTTTTGATCTCTGATGTTTTGTAATGTTATTTGCTGTCAGTCCAGTATTGATGAAAATATTGAATGGTTTGTAGCCTACAGACTTTGGTTGACTCTTCTCAAGTGAGTAGGAACAGTAGGGGTGTATGGATGGAGAAAATGTACCTCATACACAGTGAAAACACTCAAACTGTGAGTATAGCAATAATTTTATGTCAGCACTAACCTCACTTTAAATGTGTGACAGAAAGTTTACAGGAACAGAACAGGTTCTGTTTCTAAAGCAATGTGATGTAACTGATGTAATCATTGACAATCGATGTGTGCCTTTATACATTTCATCTCTGTTTTAAAATATTCCTGTGACAATCATGTTTAAAATTAGATTATAAGTAAGCTGCATGTTTAAAATGGAGCTATAAAAGTGGGAAAACCATAAAAATGTTGGAGTTTTAGTCTGTGTGTGTTTGTGAAGTGTAGTATTTTCATTTGTGTATGTTAACCTGTGTTGCCAAAACTCAAATCTGAGATTGTTAAAAAGATATTTTTGGAAATTTTCATCACTTTAAATGAAAATTTCCAGCTTTACTGGGCATTCTGGACAAAAAGTATGCTGATCATAAAGTGAGAACCTAACTAGTATACTTACGTGATTGTGGAAAATGTGATGGACCAAAAGGCATAAGCTATATACTTCCTGTGAACAGTAATTTTAGTTACAATGAAGCAGAAAAAAGTAGTCGATTTAAACTTTTTTCTTCTACCTCAGGATGGCTTTACAAGATACTTTTGAAGAAGGAAATGTAGAGAGCCTTACTTTAAGTCAGGTAGACAACGTTCATGGATAATTTGGATTAAGAAGATTGTTATATCTGAGTATAGAAAAAGTAGTTTTGATTGGGTTAATGTGCATATCTTCCTTTTTTGAACATCACTTAAGACTTTTTTTTAATCTCGAAGATAAGAAAAAGATTACTTCTCAGTGTTCTTGACTGCTCTCTAACATGACTAGAGAGTCTGAGTACTTAGCATGTACCGTGCTGTGGCATGTATCTCATCTTATTAAGTGCTATATGGTTATTCTTCTTTTTCCTTTTTTGATATCTTAATGCTTAGGTAGAGAAGGAAAAATCAAGAAGAAAAAAAAAACTTATGTGAAAAAAATGATCAGCTTTATAAAGATAGAGTGTCCTCCGTGAAGACATGGCATATGCAAAAAGACATAGTCAGTGCAGTTGTCCCCTGTCTTTTGCAGTTCAGTCAGGCAAACTGAGAGAGGAAGGTGTAAAAAAAGGCAAATTAGAAGTTGATAACCAGCCCAGCACTCTTTGAACAGATGCGTTTAGAGCACACAATCTGTATGTCCTTGGCAGAATGCCATGGTGAATATAAGCACTTGTGAACTGTGCTGATAATTGAGTTTAGTGAGTAGAGAATTAGAATCCTAGAATTTTGAAGTTTGGAGGGTATATATAAGATCATTTCTAATGGTCCCCAAAAGAGAACTTTGCCTGTCTAGATTAGACTCTCGTGGGGAGCTTGTTGAGCATGGATCCCCGGGCTTTCCCTTTAGACTTCTTGGACACTGTGTCTAGGATAGGGGCTGCAAATGTTTTTTTAATGAAGAGATTTTAAAACTACATAAAAGTAGAGAGAACAGTACAGTGGTACTCATCGCCCAGATTAAACATTAAATATCTTACCACATTTGTGTCATGTATTCCTTTTCCCTTTGCTGAAATATCTTAAAATGCCGGATAGCCTGTTATTTCACTGTAATGAGTGCTTTGGTAACTACAGTGACATCATACCTCCTTTGACTTCATTTACTATCCATTCCTAAGCAGATTTCCTTAATTGTCTCCAATGTTAGATTAGAGTGCAAAAATAAGTCATCTTATGGTTCTATTTTTAATAAGCATCTCAGATAATTTTGATGTCAGCTAGTTTGGGAAATACTGGGAGTCGTTTTGTCAAGCTGAAGGTTGAAGTTAGGATACCATAATTCTTGGCACAGATTATAAATGTGATTCTGAAATATTAGAGGAATTGGGGTTATTGGCAAGATATGAATTGATATTATTAGTAAGTTTCTTAGGTTTAATTTCCTCAGTGAACAGAGAATCTCAGCCCCATGGGCTCTAATAAAGTGGGTTGGGGCTATGTAGTGTATGGTCATAATCCAACTGGACTATATATCTCTGGTTTTATGTTGTGGCTTATTTACACTGTCATACACTCCACATTGTGGATCAGTTAGAAGGTTTTCATCTGGTTTTATTCAAACCTGACCTAATTGGGCATTTTACCATAAATTGGGATATGGTGAAAACTTTCTGCTTAGGGACTATATTTACCTAAAATTTAGGATATCACAGAAAGTCCATAACAATAGTAAAATGAGTTTTCTGAATTTATCTTTAGATAAGGTAACTTTTTCTATGAGAATTCTTAAGAAATGCAGTTCTCAGCATTAGGTTAAATTTATAGAACTTAGAGAATATATTTCTTTTCATAAAACAGTATATCTATGCAGTTTATATAAATTATATATTCTTTGAGTCTTTGTATTAGAACAATTCTGACCTCAGAACTATCTCTGGGCTACAGTATTACCAAAGTGGAATGACTTTAAAATGTAGTCATACTTCATTTGTATGAAATAGCCATCTTAAAAGAACTTGGAAATCTTAAGGAAATATATATTGTGATTTACATTTTAAAGCAATACATAACTTTTTTTTTCCCCTGTGAAGAATAGTTCATAACGTATAACGTAACCCAGTTATCTTTTGGACACTTTAGAACCTGAAATAATATTACCGCTTACTCATTGCTCTTTCATCTCGCCTCCTGTCAGATGTTACCGGTATAATGGCAAAAAACCAATCTGTGTATTATATCTGGATTCTTCCTTGGATGGGGACCTCAGGCATATCCTTTCATCTTCTCTGTGCCTTAGGTTGTAAACAATCGATATGCTCTTCCAACCTCATGAGTCTCAGAAGTCATAAGTCAGAAAGTTACGTGACTCAACAGAGATAATGGATCTGAATGCATTCTACATGGCTAATACATGCCACACATGAGCATTAGTGTTGAAGTTCTGTTTTGCCTCCTATACAGATCATTCTGTTTCCTTAGGGTGAATGTTTTCTGACATGTATTATATCTCCAGTAAGAATTTGCTTATATTATGTAAGGAGGAGATTTTAAGGAAGAGAAAGCAGAGAAGAAAGGAGTGATTATAAATGAATGCTCAAAAAAAAAAAAAAAGGAAGGAAAAGAGAGAAAGTGAGAAAGGTGAGGAAAGAGAAGGGGGTAAAAGTGAGAATGGCAAAAGGCAGAGTAAGAGAAAAGATGGAATGAGAGTGGGAAAATCGAGAAGTGGAGGTGGAGAGAAATGCTGTGGAAACTGTCACTTTTTGAGTTGTAGGCCCCCCACCCTGTGCCCCTGTCTGCCTGCCTTCTGTTTTTAGTTCGTGAGGCCCTCCGGGGTCAGGAAGGGTACTGGCTTTCATGGAGGCGGGCAGCACAACTACTTTGGTTTGATGCGTCAATACTAGAGTCCTGTTCCAGTCACTCTACTCACTAATTTAGTGATAATGATTCAACATTGTATTTCTTGACTGGATCCCAGTCAGTTGTTGGATTATACAAGACTAACCACATGGATAGTGGGTGGAGGGGACGGCTCAGTTAGGTTGGAAGGGGCCCCAGGAATCTGTTACAACAGTTTTCCAGATGATACTGATAGGAAGCCAGATTTGGGAATCACTGCCCCCCCCCATGGCAGTAAATCATATCTATTGATTCCTCAGTATGCATACTTTCAGTGGAACCGTTATAAATGGATTTAAGAGACGAGGAGACAGGAGAAACACATTGAAGGGAAAAGCCTGAAAAGATACTTTTCAGAAGTTTGTATTGTAAGTAATAAATACCTTAATAGTAATGAGAACCTCTTTGAACCATTTTAGAAAGATCATGGATCTGTTGTTGTTTTTTTAAATACCTTTTTTGGTCCTTAGAGTAAATAGAGAAGGATAGGGTGCAATATGTCAGGTATGGGGCCAGTTATCCATTTATTAAATGTACTTTCAAGTGTCTTAAAACAACAATTGCCTTATTGCATTTTAATATTTAATAGAAGTAGATTAATGATTTGTATTGTAACAGTTATCCTTTTTACATTGCCAAAGCAACCCTTTTTTGCCTCTTAAAGTCTGGCTAAGTTGTTCCAGTGTTCGCTCTTTCCTAATTCACTGAACCGGAAACCAGATTTCTAAAACTAAGTTATATAAACTTAAGTCTAAGAGGTGGCACAGGAATGTTCTGTTTTTTTTTTTTTTTTAAACTAAAAATGAATATGATGTTAATTCCAATGTCTAGGAATTAGAGAACCATGAGAAGAATATGGAATAGCATGTTGGACTAGGCAATTTAAAATTGATTAAAATAAATGTCAAATTTACTTTTAAATGGAAGACAATGTATTGTCACCTCATTTCTACCAATAATTCCAAATGTCTAATGGGATTATTTCTTTAGAATTTTCTTTAAACTCTGTTTTTATTTTTTTTTTTATTTTTTTATTTTTTATTTATTTTTTTTTTTAAACTCTGTTTTTAAACAAAAAAGTGCCTTTCAAAAAATGGGGAAAAAAAAAAGAAAGAACTACCAATACTGTGAATGCTATTTGGAGGGTCTGTGGTCAGGCATCTTAATATCAGACTTAAGAACTGATGTGGAGCCTTTGCTTATGTTTGGTTTATATATACAATCTGAATTTGTGAGCATATTCACACATAATACCATAGCAACTCCTTGTAAAACATGAAGAGAACGCAAGTGTTATATTCCATTTAAAAAGTAAAGCGACTTTGACTATGTATGGCAAATAGCTGTTTTCAACTTTGTATAAAATCTCTTCAGGGAATATTGGAATGTTATGCAAAAGTATAATTCAGGGCTTGTATACCCATAGAGTATGTCATCCATTCAAGACTTAGCAGAACCCACATGCATAATATGCATTGTCATCAGTATTTGAGAGCTGGACCAGTGGTTTTTGATGGATGTTGTAACAGAAGATCTGTGAAGGAGATTGTGGTTTGCACCTGTTCCCAAAATAAACTGGAAAAGTTGCAGGTGTTTCAATTTTTCACAGGCATTTTACATAAATATATTAATATTTTCAGTAGTAATGGTTCTAAAGCTGCAGGAAGGCATGTTGGTATACTGTGACATGTAGAAATTACTACCTTTAAACTGCTTTTTACCTTAAAATATTATGATTTTAGGATAATTTGGATATCTTCCTCCAAGTATTTTGTGTATCTTAAAATTTATTAAAGGGGAATAAGATT